GCTTCCCTGTAACTCGCAGCCACCGCAAAGACAGAAGCAATACTCATGGTGACACAGGTACCTGCAGGAGGGAGAATCGATCAGGCTGCGGCTGCACTCGCAGTCCGTTCCTCTCTAGCCAGAAGGCAGGACCTTCGGGCAGCTGCAAAACACCAACGAGGCATGCACTGCTTATGCTCTACCAGCTTCCGTCTGCGCGCTTTGGTGAAGCCGCATGGCAACTCAAAAAGGAGGAATACACGGGAAATCTGTTCTCACGGCTCTCCACACGAAAGCTTTCGGCACAAAAGGGCACATGCAAACGCTTGCACACGAGGACAACTGCCCCAAAAGAAGTATTGACCCAGAATTTTGCACAGACGCAAGTATCTTGCACAAGGTATTTGTGAGTGGACGTCCTTGCATTTGGGCAGATGGTGAAGATTCCTCTTCATGCTGGTGCTAATAGCTGTATGTAAATGCAAAGATGAGCATCGGTGTAAGCGGGCTCAGACATAGATGTATCCTTAGCACGGTTTCCTGTATCCATACGGGGGCATCACTGCTGCATGTGCTAGAGTACACGTTTGTGTGTGTGTTGCTACACGCAAGGACAACGGTGTTTGTATGTGGGAAAGCTGTCAGACAAACAGTGCAGTGGACGCAATAAGAGCACTTGGAGTGCGTTTCAACGACACAAAGGCGTCCTATGGCTTGTTTAGTGCCAAGGAGGCCCTTTAGGTCCCTCCTTTCGGTTTATGCTTAGAGACCTAGTCTTTCTTCCTTGCCTGGGGGAACTGCTGGACGACCTCGAAGCAGTGGCATGCGACGCAGATCCGCTGCAACAGATCGTCACGTAAAATATGTCCCTCAGGTGTCCGTGCAGCAGGAGCCATCGCTGTTTCAAGGAGTTTGTGCGTAGTGCATGGAAGTAGGACGACACAACAAAAGTGCCAGCAAAAAAGTTATTCTCGCAGCGGGCATCCAGACGCATCAGGTGATTTGCCAATTACCTGCACTAAATGCTCTAAGGCGACCATAAGCTGCTTGCTGCATCCCAGTGCACGCACGCACGCACGCGCCCTTAAAACGTTGCATCATCATATTGGAGTAGCAATACGAAGCGCGAGCGGAGGAAGAGCAAGAGGTAGCAGCAGCAAACGCAACAAATAGGAGAGAAAGAGAGCCGCGCACTTTTGTGTTAGGTTAATTCGGAGCCTCATGTTAGGGACCTCCCTCAAGAGTGTACGCGCTGCGTTTACACACGACGCAGAGGGCTGCAGATACTTCAAGAATGCTTGTCGTAGGCGTGAGTAAAGGGCTGCCGCTAGAGAGTAGACTGAGTGGGAAATGCAGCTTCCCACCACGGAGGTAAGCTCTAATGACGTGGCAGCATAGTTCCATGTGCTCCTTGGGCATCCGCAACTCGTAGAAGATGACACTTTCCGCCAATTCGATGGCATCCTGAAGCCGAAGCGCGGTCTCTCTGTGTGGCTTGGGGTGTCGTGTTGTACCAGAGCAGGCTAAGCACCGGGCTACAAGCCGCACTCCCAGAAAAAAAGCCTCAGGGGAAAGAGCAGCGGCTAAAAGGGTCGTACTTTGGGGATATCTTTGCCTATCCACTGAGGACGTAGCGCCTCTAGAAGCTCCTGTAAATCCTCAAGAGACATGCGCGATACGAAGCTTGGATGGTTCCACGTTGGCAGACACACCCAGCAGTGACAGAGCGAAAACGGCGGTAGCCTCAAGGCCAAAAACAGTGGCAGCAGCGAGGTGCGGCGGAGCAGTCCCAGCAAGGAGACACCGCCCCGTGTTTGCAGCAGCAGCGGTAGCAGCATATTAAAACCCAACATCTGCGACTACCACAAGGCGCGTCATGAAAAGTTCCTCGGCCCTTCTTTTTGCCGCGAAATTCTGAGGACAGCAAGCTGCTTCAAAGAAGAAGTCTACGTGTCGACAGAGCAGACACAGAGCGAGGCACGCGCGAAACCCCCATTTACACGGCTAGCTTTCCACACGGACGGAGGGCCACGAACCACAGTGGGAGCAGAGAAAGAGGGACTGCAAAGGGAGAACGCCTGGAGGAATTGACAGGCCTGCCAGATTCAACGCGGTGGCAACGAGCGATGCGTGAAAAGAAAGCAAGGACGTAAGAAACATAGTCAGAGAGAAAAAGGCCCGAGCACACGGAGATGCAGAGGAATATACATAGAAGGAAGCCGAACGAGTGAGGAGAGGCACAGAAGGAAGCAGTGTATTCTGGTCGCCTCACCTCGTTGGCTTCGCATTCGGTGATGGATGCCTCTGCCTCCTTTAGCCGCATACACACCCAGAAAGTGTCAACGCTATAGTTTCGAGCTTCCAAAAGGTGGGAATCACACGTTAGGGGAGCCAAGCTAGTACCACTATGGAGTTTCTGGGCAGGCAGATAAGCTTGCTGCCCATGTATCCTGCTATCCGTCAAGCATGCGTTTCGCCTGCCTCTCCTGGTGCGCATCTATTGTGTATGCTGTGTAGGCCTACGAGAAGCAGCGTGAGGCCCCTGAGATGATGGTTGACGGCACCAAAGAGAGCCTTGGCCAGCGCCTCCTCCTCTGTACACCAGAGTTCATCTAGGTCTCGAAGCTTCACCTTTAAATCCCCTAAGAACCCAACAAGCCCCCCCGCGAAGTTGGAAGAAATACCATCAGCGGCGAGATGCACAACTGAGCGGATGCTGCTCTCCAACGAAACGAGGAAGGCCCCACTTCTTTCACGCAGATCGGCAGGAACCTCCAGAGGCACACCGTCTACATACAGGCAACAATCACTGCCCCTGCTGCTGCTGCTGCTGCTGCTGCTCTCTGAGTCTTGCTGAGTGCCGTCGCTCTGGTCGAATTCTCTAGAAAAGGGTGCAGGTGCGAGCGTCACATCGTTGGAGGATCTTTGCTCTGAAAAAAGGGTGGGGGTCCCCGAGTCCTCCTGGGCGTTGTCTGGCTGATGCGGACTATCCTCAGCGGCACAAACGGAATCTGCTGTAGCTGGACTTGCTGCTAAAGAGCGTGAATGTTGAAGCACAGAGACGGGGTAGCCCGATGGGCAGTACTGCTGCTGAGATGTCAGCAGATCAGGGGCCCAGAGAAATCGGTAATCCTTACACTTCGAAGCCTATGCACACGAAACACCAACGCCAGTAACAAACTGAGCTCCCATGCATTGCCGAGCAAAATGCGCATGCGCAACAGTTTCTGCAGCAGTTGCTTGAGCGGGCAGGCAGGCGCATTGAATGCGAGCGCGGCACAAGGGCAACAGTCGTAGCGTAGGTCTCGCCACAGCCACAGCAGGACTAGACATCTCCCAGGAGCCGCAAGAGCAGGGCAGGGTGCACAACAGACTTTAAGCTCGTCAGCGAGCCGCCCAAGGAGGTGCAGCACTAGGGAGAGGCGTCTTGATTCTTCCGTGTCTTCGCCCCCTTGCTGTTGCGAAGGCAGCAGAAGCCTTTTGAAGATGTCGGGGTCTTTAGCTGTCTCTGCCACTAGCGCAGCGATAAGCGAAAACGTTTTGGTCTCTCTAAAGCGGATTATCTCTGGGCTGCCCCTTTGTTTGGCCTTCCGCTTCTGTTTCCTGCCTTTAGGTCCCCCCATTGCACTTCACTTCTCGAGCACCTCGGCACTGCCTCGCATGCACGTGCTTATGCTAACGCCCACACTTCTTCAGCCGTTTTTGCTGTTCTCCACGTTTCTCCTGTCGGTCTGCTTTATAGCATCCGTTATTCCATATATCTTTTGGTGTATTTCAACTGCCCAGTCCCCTGCGCAGCTCATTTGTCGCTCCCGTGCCGCAGGGCGGGTCTCTCTCAAGCATGTTTGGACCGCTACTCTACGAGCTCATCCCCAGTGAGCTAACACAAACGGACTTTTTTGAGGGGACAACAGCTCTCGCAAACGGACTGTCAGAAGAGTAGCAGCAGCATTCCTCTACGATGTACAAAATTTGTGTCCACGGGTTCGTCCCGGATCGGGAGCTGGCTACGCAGACTCCACCTAATAGCTGTTTCTACGGGGCACCTTTCCGTCTGTGTGCGTCTGTGCAGGAAGAACAGGCTTCATTAGCTGCTCTCGACAGGCGAATTTTGCCTGAGCTCCTCTGCGCCTACAGCACAACTGCTATCTCTCTACTGCTCTTGTGCAGTTTAATCCACTTCTTTTGTGCCATCTAAGCTCGATAGGACGAGTGTCGTCAGGCTCTGGGGCTGGTGCGTCGTTTTAGCGGCCTCTCAGCACTCATGATCTGTCATGCGTAAATCCCCAAATTCGCTTCTGTGTCCTAGATTCCTGTTGAAGCTGCTTTCCTTGAGACACCGAGAATCAAATTGATGCATTTGGAACCCTTTTAAAGCTCCAACCAAGGAGCGGCTGCAGAAATACGTTGCCCTACAGCTGAGCGATCATCATCAAGACACTACGGCATCGGCAGCGGCCGCAGCGGCGGCTGCTAGAGGTTCGCCAGTCGCCTTCGTTTTGCCCAGTGTGTGTTTCGGGAGAGCTACATTTCCTGTATTTTCGCGAAGAATCTTACTTCAGACGTGTGTGTAGGAAGCCACGGGGAGAAAATCAAAGGCAGCTGCGCAGCGGCAGCCGCTGGGCAGCGGCTGGGCAACCGCACGCATGCATCGGCAGCGGCAGTGGAGGAAGCAGCAACAGCACTAGAAGCAGAAACAAGAGGAATTAAGGATTGTGGAGTATGCGTATCGTGTCTGTTTGACTGTCCCATGTGTATCCAGCTACCTTCGACTCTGCGTCGCCTCGCCAGCAGCGGGTGCGCCAGCTGCTGTTTTGGTGTATGCCATCGGAATCATCAGTACCAGCAGCACCCTCTGTAACAGCAGTAAAGGCAGCCCCTGCCACAGCTACCGCCCTTCTCACCCAACCCTGAAAAGCCGTAGCGACAGGAAGCGCAGCTCACCTCCGTGCAGCAAGCCTCACCAGCTAAAGCCTCTGAAGCACCCTGACAGCGCGAAGAGCAGCAGTCACACAACAGAGATGGAAGGGCAACACCTGGTGCTGCGTTTGCGTGCCTCTTCTGGGCATAGCAGAGTGACGTGCAACAGCAGTATCACGGCATCCGAGTTGTATGTGCAGGTAGCCCAGCAGCTGAAAGTTCCTGAAGATACACTCGACCTCTACACAGATGCTGCGAAGAAACAGGTGCAACTTGTTTCTTGCTGATGCTGTGCTGCTGCTGCCACTCCTGATGGGCTTTCGCGCCGCATGGAGGCGTTCCTGTGGCTGGTGGTTGTTCCCCAGGGTTCAAGTCTGGCTGCTGCATCAGTTCAGCCTCAAATGGAGAGCTGTCTTTTCTGACAGCTTTCAGCCACGGCTTTCTATTCGCCAATGCAAATGCGCCTTTTTCCTGTGCAGCTATTGCCGCGGGCCGCGTGCTGTGTAGAGTCTTTGGGCCTTTCTTCCGGATGCCTCCTTTTTGTTGACACACGAGGCAGCAACGCTGTTGTTAGACATTCTGCAACCCTCTTCACGCCATCGCACAGCCTTAAAGACGTGGCTCTCGACATTCCGCCGGCGGAAGGTAGACTTCACACTGCGCCTGTGGCCGACTGCTGGCTGGGGGCCTCTCGGCAGAGGCTAATAGCTGCACACTACACACGCACCGAAAAAGCATTTCGGTGTAGTTGCCTCTGCACCAGTGACAGAAACTTCACCCGCAGGAGTCGCAGGGGCAGTCTCAGCACAGAGTGACACACACTTTCTGCTCAGTTTGCACGCTTCACGGATGCCCCCTCGGGTCGTGGTATTCTCGCAGTCTCTTATTTCCTTGCCTTGCCTCCTAGCATGCAGTTCCGCTCACTCCTGTATGCTGGCTTTTCGGAGCGGTGCTTTGAGGCTTTACCCTTGTTCTTCCGCAAAACGGCAGCGTTGTGTACTAAGGCTGCCTCCACTGCAGAGGCAGACTTGCGACTTCATGCGGTAGTTGTGCGTTTCTGTGGGCTGCTGCTCTCTGCCCAGGCCTGCCCACAGCCAGTTCCAGCAGTTCTAGTTCAAACCTTAGCAGCAGCAGCAGCAGCAGCAAGGATGCCGACAGCAGCGGCAACAACAGTGCATTTAAACCCTTTGACAAATTCCTAGAGGAGAGGGACTACGCCGTTCTGGATTTGCCGCTCGTCAACAGCTTCACAGCCACAAAGCTGCAGGCTGGCCATATGAACAAGGTCTGAGTGAAGCCTGCATGCATGCATACACATAGTCCTCCCCAGGCTAGTGAAGTCTCTTGCCTTTTCTATGCAGGGGACTGGACCTCGTGCCCTTCCGCGCATGCAGATGAGCTCGCAAGTCATCTGGTGCTGCTCGTGCTAGAGTTTCTGGTGCGCTGCAGCTTCCTCAGACGCTGACGCTGAAGCACCAGGTGTACCGACACGTGGATCACCTGGAACTGATGAATGTTTCCGAGGTGCAGCAGTTCGTTTCCTACTGGAAGAATGATCTCAATATGCAACAGCAACGCTGCGGCTTCATGTTTGGCTATTATCGAGAAGATCGGCATTATCCTTTGGGGATTCGCGCCGTCTGTGAAGCCGTCTATGAACCTCCTCAGGTGAAAAAGTTCCCCCACTCTAACAAAAGCCCTACCGCCACTGACCCTGCTGCAACTTCTCCTTCGCTTTCCTTTCGTGGTTTTATGCAAAGCGTCTGCTTCTGCTTCTGCTCCTGCTGCTGTTGTTGCTGCTGCTGTTGCTGCCTTAGCTGCGTTTGTCTGCCGTGAGGCGTCTTAATGCGGAACCCGCAGCGTTTCTTGTCCTACAGTAGGGTGCACGATAAGGGGAGCGGCAGCGCTTGCTTTGTCATGGCTGCGCGTGCGACTTGCGTACAAAGAAAGGCCTGCTGTGTGTTTATGCGCTTTCTCGCTGCGTTTTTTTGCTCTCTTCTTCTCTTACTCTCTGTCTCAGAGAGTATCTCCCGGTGATTTCTTTTTCTATTTGCCGATTGGCGGCTTGCGCTATAGATTCCACGCTGCTACGTCGAAACCGTCTTCTTCTGCTTGTCCTTCCCGCGTCTGCATCTCTTCTGTTAAGTGCCGATCGCTCGCACTCAGTCTCCTTGTGTGAACGCGCGTCTCTTCCTGCCCGTAGCGTGGATTTTTTGGCCTCTGCCTCTGCGCTCAGGAAGGAACGGAGGACGAATTTCGTTTGCTAGAAGGCCACGCTTCAGAAATGGAGTTGGCTGCTGCAGTCGCTGCTCGTCTTGGACTCGAGCTGATTGGCTTTGTCTTCACGCATAAACCAAGGAAGCAGCTCCTTACTCCAAAGGAGGTTTTGTTCCTCGCAAAGTGAGTTGCAAAGGATTTATCCAAGCAGCAAAAAGAAGCTTGCTGTGCGCTGAAGCCGCTTCCAACCCCCCAATTCCCCCCAAAACTGTCCTCCTGCCCACGCAAAAGCCGCTCACACCCGAAAGCGCAGCGTGCAGATCGGCCTAGGCGTCTCTGGAGCTTTCGCGAAGGCTTTCCCTCCTTGCCTGCTTTGAAGTCTGGAGGGACGGCACTGCACTGTGTTACCGATACACCAGGCTGTCTAGAACAAGAGAGACCTTCAGTCTCCGCGTGCTCTTGTGCGAGCTGCTGCCGCAGGCTACAGCTCGCTCACCTTCAGTCGAGTCATTTCTCGGGGTATCCGGTTCCTAAGTTTGTCGCATGCACCGTGGCGCTGCAGCACACTGCTGAGCCTCAAGAGCTCGAGCAGCAGGAACAGAAGCAGCAGGAACAGAAGCAGCAGGAAATCGTTCCTAACGCCTTTATGGTATCCGATTTGGTGGGTGTCAGCTTACGCTTCCCTGTGCACACTAACGCCAAGAAAATCGCACATACGGGTGCTGCCCTCCCTTCCAACGCGCTTTCCATCGCTCCGTGTGTGGAAATTTCGCCCCTCCATCAGTTGCTTACGACGCATTGCTCCTCTCGGACTCTGGCTGATCACAGATTATGGCTCTTGTTCGAGACGGCATGATCGCCGACGAGCAAACCGATGAGACACACATCGTCCTTAGCAAACCCCGCAAGGCAGGTTGTGTTGGGGGTGCTTGTGCTGCTGTTTGTGCGGTTGCTTTTGCTACTGCTGTTTGTGCTTTTGCTGCTGTTTGTTCTTGTGCTGCCGTTTGTGCTGTTGTTTGTTCTTGTGCTGCCGTTTGTGCTTGTGCTGCTGTTTGTACTGCTGTTTGTGTTTGTGCTGCCGTTTGTGCTTGTGCTGCTGTTTGTACTGCCGTTTGTGTTTGTGCTGCTGCTTGTGCTGCTGTTTGTACTGCCGTTTGTGTTTGTGCTGCTGCTTCTGCTGCTGCTACAAATTGGCGGAGGTGAACAGCCGTGGCGCCCTTGCGCACCAACGCGGTGTGTAGCTGTCGCTCTATCGAGTATCTCTCTGCACAGGCTGCTACTGCTGCTGCTACTGCTGCTGCTGCTGCTGCCAGGGTGTCACATGCCGTTTTTGCGCTGTCTCCTCGTGCTGCCCTCCGTCTCTCCTAAGGGAGAATTGCGGCCGCAGGTGCTGGAATCGGGTGTGGAAAAGGACCGATTCGACGCAAGCTGGTGTATTGTCAGGGTTAATGAATCTGCGCCTAAACGGGTGTGTTTTTTCGTTTTTTGCGTGATTGGCTGTCTCGGTTGGCCCCTAGCATGATGAATTTACGTCAGCAGTGTCTATCCCTCCTCGCAGAGGCGCCTTCCCTTGAGGGGGGGAGGGGGCTTGCTCGATGAGGCGTGGCACTACATGCATGGCGGTGGAGGCTTGCTTGCTTGCGCGTGCGTGCCTCATGGGCTCTGTCTGCCGTTCGCCTGTGGCACGTTCAGGTTCGCTCTTTCTTCCAGCACACGCATTTCCCTAGAGAAAATCGGATTATAGCCCAAACTCCGCAAGACATTCAAGTCAGTGGACTCTGTATTCTGCCGCTGTGGTGTTGCACAGCTGTTGTGGCACAGCTGTTGTTGAACGGCGCTGTCTGGCTTTGGTGATCCCCCTGTGTCTGTCTGCCCCGCTGTGTTCCCTTTCGCGCCTTCCGCTGGCTGAGGCGGCTGGCTGTCTCTCCAGGCCTTCCAGTTGACTTGAAGCTGCACTCCCCGCGGCAGCCTCTGGCGTGAAATACATCTCTTGCCTCGCATAGACCGCTTTGGGCTGTTTCAGGCATACTTTAACCACCCCTCGATGAGCCGCTCGGCTGCGGGTGCTGCTGGGGGTTCTGACGCTAACTGGAGCCGATTCTGTGACTTCCACTTACTGCTCTATGTTGCGCGTCTCTTCGACCTTCCCACGAGCCTTACCATCTGCGACTCGGTCTCTAAAGAAACGCCGGTGGATGCCGGCATGGAAGACATTCTAAAGTCCCTTGCCTAGGCAGGAGGCTGAACGCATGGGGTAATAGAGCCAGCGTCATGGGCAGCAGCTTAAACGCCCCTCTGCGCGTAAAGGGTTCCCCTCGCTGATGCATGCACTGCCGCCTAGCTGGCTGGCTGCTAAGTCCGAGCAAGCCGCCGAGTCAGTTGTCGCTAGCCGTCGGCCGGCAGGTCCATCCACTGTGAGGGATATCTCGATGAGGTGGGGCAAGCGTCTGGCGCGCCAATGTGTGTCTTTGTCGTCCTCGCCGTTGATTAATTTGAGGTGACCGTTTTTAACACCCCCAAAGGGGCCCTTGGCTGCTAGCTGCTAGCTGCCAAGCCGTAGCGAGGCCTACGCCGTCAGTCCCCTCTGCAGCAGAGGCGAGCCTACAATGAAGGTGAATTCGTTCTCTGTGGCACTACTAACCTACAACGAAGGGAGTTAGCCACCTACCTGGCCACCCCGCTGGTGCGCCTGGTGCGTTCTAGGCACCGAAACAGTCTACAGTCGGCCTGCTCACCAGGCAACTGCCAGTAGTATAGGACCACCGAGTATCGCACGTGAGCAAAAACATTCCAAAGAATGACTGAGCCGATAGGCAGCTGATGGGAGAGTCTACCTACCCGAGCCATCGAACGGTCAAGTGGATAGACTGGCGGCTTCTGATGATGGCTGGATAACCGACAATAAACGAACGTTGCGTAGCGCCCCCAGCTTGCTGCTGTGGCCTGGTGCTACGCCAACTAGCCGTTTCTCCGTTACCACCTCTACCTTTGGTTGGCTGTCTAGACACCCCCATCGACCCCCCCTAACTCCCGGTCTACTTACTGACTGCGCGGGAAAGGCAGTACCAACCCCTCTAAGGCTACGCTTTTGTGGCAGGTGCCAAGCAATCCGCCGGCGTAAAGCAGTTGTAACGGTTCGGGCAGGTTTAAGCGGCACAATAAGCGCCGCACCGACTCCTCGCGACTTGTGCTTTGTAAGAGGGAAGCACTACAGAAGCGCTTGCATTTTAGAGCAACATCGAGTCAGACAGGCGCTGTTGTTACTGCCGTGGTGGCACTGGCGCTACATCCTGTAAAACGGAGGCAGTGCGTGAAACCGCCTCAGCGAGGGATCCCCCCAGCTGCCAACGTTGGCCTTTCCACTACTCCGGATAGACTTCCCAATCCTCTGGCTTGCGTAAATACGCAGGTTCCGATCGGTGCGAGGCAAGTTTCTGCGGCTGCCGCAGACACTTCCATCTCAGGAGCCGCTGCACGAGCGCTGGCACCTTCTTCGCGTCGAGTAGACGGGCTGTGAGAACTTTTCACGGAACTAGGAGCAAAAGGCCGACAGCCTTTCAGGAAAGGGTGGTGACAGCAGCATCGCCATATAGGGATGCAGTTGCAGCAACTAAACGCTAAAGCAAGAAGCCCCGCAGAGCGGCAGCCCCTTGTTGCTGTTTTTGCGATTCGCGCTGCAATTCCAGTAGCAACGCCTGCAAGGCCACCACAGACAACGACCTCTGCAACGACCACGTATCTAGAGCAGCAGCGTTTCCTAGCAAGCCATGGCAAGAAGCCACATCAGCGAACGGCAGAAGCAGCTGCAAGCACAAGCGCAGCGGAAGCACTAGCCGCTAACCCGAATGTTTCTATCCTTAGGAGCAAGCTTTGCAGCCGCTCGCGCTGCCTCCAAGGCTCCTTCTGCCTCGCCTACACCCTGCAACGCGAGGGCTTTCCGGTGCCAGGCCGTCCGCTGCGTGAGAAAGCGGTCAAACTTCTGCTGCACACGCTGCCGCTGCTCGGCACAAGCAGCTTCCTGCAACCCCTCACCTGAGCTGCTGCAACTGATGCTGCTGCTCACGTCTTGCGCTGCACAAGAGAGCGCGACGTCGCAATGCGCTGCAGCATCCCTAAACTGCTTCAGTCTTAGGCAGCAGGAAGCAGCGTTCAACGACAAGCCGCAGCACAAGGCCTGCGCTGCAGGAAGACACAGTTCGGCTGCACTACCCGGGGCGCCTTGCGCCGAAAGTGCAGACGACCCTCCGAAGGGGGGCAGAAGCTGCGGCTTTTGCTGCTTTTGTAGCAAGGAACACGCAGCAGACATCCGGCAAATGTCCAATCCTTTCTTGTAGAATGACAAGGCAGCAGCGGTCCAGCCGTGCTGCACCGCAGCAGCCACCCACAGCAGAAGCAGAAGGCAGGCACTATTTTACACGTTCCCAAAAAAGAAGCAAGTAGGAAAGCAAGAGAGAGGCCATCTTGCTCAGACTAAGCACACGCCATGCAAAGGCGGGGATAGCTACGAAAAAAGAGGGCCTTCCTGCTGCCGCAGTCTATTTCTTTTACGCAACGAGCTCCCCCAACTGATACGTCGTGCTCCCCCTCCCTCTTGTCGCTGCTGCAATTGGATATATATGTAGGACTACTTTGAAGAGAACATTCCCTTCTTCTTTCAGAGCGATGCCCAGTGCCGCCTTTTCATCTCCCGAGAGAGCCCAATGGTCGGCTTTCTGCAGCCGCAGCATCAACGCACCACAGCACCAAAGTCTGAATCCTAGAACGGCAGTGTCCAGACACGCGCATCAGTTGCCGCATCAGCTGCTGCAGCAGTGGCTGTAGCAGAGGCTGCTGGCGTGCCAAGGTACGTCTTTCCTCTGCGAATGCGCTTCAAACAGCTCCACTTACCCTTCCGAGGATCCCCACAAATGAGACAAGTGCTCGGCAGTCCAGCTGGAGGCCTCCAGGCCTAAACGACGCCTCTTCAGAGACACCTCCTTCCTGCTGCCCGTGCTCAGAGCTCTGCAGCAGCAGCAAAAGTTGGTGCAGTCTCTCTGGCGCGTAAGACAACCGATGAGGCTGCAAGGCCGAAGATTCCCCCCTCTCGATACACTGCAGGCCCTTAATGACTCGCTTCAGCTGCAGTTCGGCTGAGAAGGCATCTGGCCCCCCCTGCAACTCCGTCAGAGCAGCAGAGTCAGCCGCTCTCTCGCCGACTCCGCCGTGGCAAGGATCTCCTGCTGTAAACTCGCAAGCAGTCTCGGCTGCATCTGGCATGTGCAGCAACCATACCCCTTCCTACGCCACATACACACACACAGATATCCATTCGCACCAACGTAGGCCACCCACCAAAACGATGAATACGAACACAAAATACAGATCGCAAGGGCAGTGCATGGAGGGCAGGCCTTACCCACGACGTCCTCGGCACATTTAGAACCAGTGCCACATCCTTTTGTACTGCCTGCTGCTGCTGCTCCTGCTGTTGCTGCTGCTCCTGCTGCTGCTCAAAGTCCCCATAACCGCCCTGTTCATGCTCAGCATGCTCTGAAAACGGCGAGGGGACCTTAAGCTGCTTCTGCTGTAGGCGTTGCTGCAGCCTCAGCATGCGGTCCTGGTGCAGCTGCTGCGCAGGCGGCTGCCGCAGCAGAAGCAACTCAGGAGGCAGCATCACTTCCGCTGTTTGACCAAGAGAAAGCTTCAGCAGAATTGAGCGCAGCCACAATGGAACTGATGTCACTGCGGAAGGAGACAGAAGCAGCCACACGTTCTCCGACTGCTGCTGCTGCCCCTTCTCCGACTGCTGCTGCTGCTGGAGTTGATCCTTCTCCTCCACGTTCCGGAACGTCAGGTCACCTGCTCCTGCGAGACACCTTGGATCCGCCACATTGAAAAGCAAAGGCAGCAACGGCACGCGTTTCTGCTGTTGCAGCAGACGCAAGGCTTCTAAGACCTCTCGACGGCTCGTATCAGCGTCATCCGCAAAAGCTTCTGAGCTGGCTGCAGCAGCTGCTGCAGCTGCTGCAGCTGCAGCGTGGGGTGGTAGGGATACTTCTGCCTCAACGCGCAGGCGGACAAGCAGGATGCTTTCCTCGTCTGCGAAAAGGGGATGAGAGGCTGCTGCTGCTACAGCTGCTGCTGTTGCGCCGACTCCTGGCTGCTGCTGTTGCGGCTGGAACGGAATTATGGAATATCGCAAGATTCCCGCAACCGCATTTGGGTGTATAGGCGCTGCGAACATGCAAGGAGCATAGCAGCAGCAACAGCACTTGCTGCTGTTTCGAGAAGACCTGCTGCGACAGCAGCAAGGAAATGCGCAGCACTCGAAACAAGATTAGCAACTGCAGCCACGACTTTGAGGGCCTTGGATCTTACAGGGAACTCTGACTTCTTCCAGGCGCTGCCAGCCGCAAAGGCGAACGAAGAGGCAAACAGCGTTGCTGCACGGTTTGCTCAGGTCCTTAAATGCGCAGCTGCTGCTTCGGCTTGTTTCAGATACGCCTTCTGCTTCGACTGCCGCCAAGGCCGCTTCTCCCAAGGTTCTGGCGCAACTGCCAGCGGCTGAGCGCATCATGCTGCAGCTGCTGCAGAGGCACTGGAGCGGAACGTGGCGAGGGTGATCCTCCTTGCCAGCAGACCCGCTACCCCGATTGGTGCTTCTACGCGGGTTGCTCTGCTGCTCGTCTCCCTGCGACACAGGCGCTGCTGCGCTGCCCGTAAGCCTCACCAGCACAGCGTCCCCTTGCCGCATGTGCTTCAGAGTCTGCAGCAAGCCAGCGAAAGGAAGAAGAGCTGCTCTCAGAGGCAGCTCAAAGGTGTGCAGGCTGCTGGAGGACGGCGCGGCAGCAGGGGGAGACGAAGGAGGGGCCTCTCTTCCTTCTGCTGCTGCTTGCGAGTGCTGCCGGTGCTGCAGAAGCAGCTGCTGCAGCAGTTCGTCCGCTACGGGCCTTGAGCAGCCGCTGAGGAGACTGCCAAGCTGCTGCAGCTGGCAGCAACGGGACGGACAGAGAGCAGCAAGCTGCAAAAACAGCCGATCCCCCTCCTTTGGGAAGTGCCTTTTTCCAGCAGACGTCACAGGAGACACTGTAATCATCCCCGCTTCATCAGGTCGCTGAAGCCGCCCCACAGCAACCAGCTCAACAACAAAGCAGAGATTCTGAGTGGTGCCCTGTCCTGCTGCTGCTGCTGCTGAGGATGACGATGATGAGAATGCGGAATCTCTTCCCGCCGCTTCGGCAGCGACTGCGGAAGGTATCCAGCAGCAGCTGCAACAATCCGCGGCAGAAGCAGCAGCACAGGGCGTGTGGCTCTGGAATAGCCCCTTCGGCAGTCGCTTCTGCTGTTTTTGTCGTTCCTCTTCCTCGCGAATCTCTTCTTCTTCTTCCCGCTGCTGCTGCTGTTGCTGACGGCGTTCCGCCTGCTGCCTGCCCAGCTGCGTGTTGATGCGGCGCGCAGCCCTTCGCGTTGCATGCAGCGACGACTTGTGCAAGGCGGCGTAGGCTCTGCTGCTGCTCGTGGCAATGAGGCTACTACTACCACTGCTGCTGCTGCTGCTGGTAGAGAGGCCAGACGCAGCAGCCGCAGCAGCCACGAGGCCTTGCGGGCAGTGCTCGTAGTCTTTGGAAAAGAGATGCTTTTGCTGGCAGCAAACCAAGGCCGACTCGCCCCCTACCATGCACCTTAACGCGGCTTCGACAAACGCAGGGAGCACTGCAGCAGCAGCAGGAGGAGCAAGTAGCACACAACAAGACGATTGCAGCCGCAGCAACTACTCTCCGCGGCGAGTACATCTGTAAAAATACAGCGCGTTGCCAGAAGCCCCACACGCGCAGTTCGTGGGCTTCGCGCAGGGGCAGCAGCATGCGCAACGGTTCGAAAAGAAAGGAATGGGAAGTGTGAGACAGCACAGGACGTTAGCAAACAGAGGAGTCCATCACCGATGCATCGAGCTGCCAACGAGCTCATGTCACCAGTAGAAAGCTGTCAAAGAAAGCTCAGCAAGAAGTGCGCTACCCTGCAGCTCAGGGAGCCTGCATGCGCAGTGCGGACAGACACAGGAGTCCGTTACGCCGGAAGCGGGTGGGGCTTGCAGTTGTGTCGCTCTGCACCTGCAGCTCCGAGAGGCGCGAGGATTGAAGTGCATGCGCTTGCTTCTCCCACCAAGTCCTGAAGCTCAGCAGTGGTAAAGGGAGGCACGACCAAACAGCTGCTGCTGATCCGCTGTTGAATCCTGCTGCTGCTGGAGGGCGTCTCAGGCAGCGCAGGCACAGCTGCAACCCTTCGCCATCGAACTGAGGAGCACGCGGCAGCGAAACAAAAGCATCTGCAAAGTGGAGTGCGCTATGCAGGTGCGACAGCAGCAGAGCAATGGCGACAGCAACAATAGTGGCAGTACAAAAACAGCACCAGCCGCAGAGGCATTAGAGCACCCTACCGAGCACCTCATCGCCAATCCCTGGTAGAAAGCCCCCCTAAAGGCACAGCACAAACACACGCGCAGTAGTCTTTGCACTATGGAAGGCTTTCTGACGAACCAGGGGGGAAGGGGGGGCCTAACGCTGCGAAGCATCACTGATCGCCACCTGTCCGCTGCGCAACAGCAGCTTCGCGATATTCCCCTTGTAATGAAGAACCCGCAGGTCTCCAATTCGAGGATCAGGAGCCTCATCATCGCTCTTGAAGTCGTATACTGCAAGACAGGCATCCAAGGCCAACAGGCACACATACACACATACATACACACACATACCATATACATATACACACATACACATACACACACACACATACACATACATACATGCACATTTTCACATACACATACACATACACACACATGCACACATACGCATACACACACACACGCATACACACACACTTTCACATACAGACACATGCACACATATATACACACACATACGCATACACACATTATACACACATTATACGCACATACACATACACATACAAACATACGCATATACATATACACACACATACACACACACACACACACACATGCACATACATGCACATACACACACAGACATGCACATACACATACACACACATGCACATACACATACAACATACGCATATACATATACATACACACACACATGCACATACACACATGGATACATGCACATACATACATACATACACACACACAGTTCTGTGCAGGTGTGCCCTTGCTGCTGGAGTATCACTTGACTAATTTGTTGTTTTTCGACAGGCCCAGCAAAGCGCGTTGCTGGGAGATGAATGCACAAAGTCAAGAGTAAAAAGTTCGGCTTAGGGGCCTTTAAGACAGGGCCCCTGCAGCGCAAGGACGCCTACGCATTGCCGGTTTGTCATCCCCGTCTTCGGCTATATGCCCTAGCGACTGAGGTCTTACCGGGAGCGTCGCTCTCTGCTTCTGTGGTGAGCCCTGCAGCCTCTTCTGACTCGGGCTCCTCCATTTGCCTTCAGTGTTTTGTTTTGCGAAAAGATACAAGACCAGAAGCGGCAGTGGAGGTGCCCGCCGGAGCGGCAGCGAAGGATTGAGTTCGTAGCTTGCTCCTGGTTTGTGCCAAGTATGTCTGACAGGTCTGACGCAACTCAAAGGGAGCGCGGAATCATTCAAGCATTCCCTCCCGAGACATGAAATCTCCAAACTGTGAATGGCTATGCATGCTCGCTCGTGAGCGCGTGGTGTGTGCTGCTGTTCAGACACACACGAAGGGAAAATGTGCCTTCGATTTAAGAGAATCACACAGGTCTCCTCCGCCAGCGCCGGTGCAAGCGGTAAATCCCGAATGTGAAAGCTTGATGTGCGCATGCAGCGCCTGTTCACCATGAGGCTGTCGAGACTCTCTCTCAGCCCCTTGGCTTCGAGTGTCAATGGCAAACGGTGTTTGACGATCAAAAAACAAAACAATGCACAATATGCAGTCAATCTAAGCGCCTCTTGCAATTGAAATCAAACCAACGAAGGTGTCTACGTATAGGGCGTCATCTTGCAAAGGGGCCCTCGATGCGGCATTGGGAGTCGGGATGGCAAACTCTGCCATACCATCCAAGGCATATGCTTTTTTTCATTCTATTTACTGAAGGGTAGGGCCCTCCGCGGGCATTGTATTCCTTCCTGCACCAGGCTCATGGACGCATAGCCCTCGACCGCACATACCCACTAGCCTCGCTTCGCATGAACTTGAACGTGTCCTTCAGCGGCTCTCAATAGTTTCAATCGCACCACTTTGCACATCAGCGCTCGCAGTTTAGGTGTACAGCTCTGGACATCGCTTCGTTCGCGAAAATCCTTGAGGAAGGCCGTGTTGCTTTTCGCCCTGCTTGCCACGATGGAGGTACACCTTGTTGTGCTCAGACATCACGCACTCTGTGTCCAGTAGGAGATGGCAAAAGCTCCGTAGCGTCGTCTTTCGGGGCGTTTTGGAATGTCGCAAAGGGCCCCGACATCTTGGGGTGCGTGTCATGCATGATGGCTTGTCTTGGGAGAGTGAAAGCGGACTTCTTGCGTGCATGCGCATGCGCGCTGTCATGCCTTGCCGCGAGTTATCTTTGCAGGGCCTTCAAGCGCTTCCACGGCCCAGCGTATGGCCGCGGATGCCGCTACTGTGCTTGGCGATGTTTGTTGTGGGAGGAATGACGGAGGCTGCCATGACGTTCTCTGGTTTCTACTCTGTGTACACCGTTAATGAGGCGAAAAAGAAGGCAGAGCAACAAATACAGCAAGAACAGTTGTGGGAAACTGCCTCTATCAGGAGGAAACAAAGACAAGGTTCGCCATTCGCCCATGCCCTCGGTCGCCGTTGCCGTGCTTTTCACCGTTGCGTCCTCGTGCTGCTCATAGATCCCCCTTATTCTTTCATGGCTTATTATTCTAGATCCCCCTGTTTACTCGTGTTCGTTTGTGCTGCGCTTCTGCATCTGTAGACCCGCCTTTCTCTTTGCTCCTCTTGCGCTGCCTTTCTACCCGTTTTGTTTCCCCTTGCTTCGAGCCGTTGGTGCCTGTCGTCCTGTATGGCGTGCCATGTCTAGTATCTTCTTCTTTGACGCTTGCTGCAGCGGCGGTGGAAATAAAGGACTGATGATCCAGCGAAGGCGGCATTGCATTACGGGCAACTCGTGTGTTTTTTGCCGCGAGTATTGCACATGTAGCACTGCAGCTTGGGGTGTACGGGGATGATGATGCTCGCACCTTCCGTATGCTCGGCGCACAGCGAGCGCCCCTCTTTGCATAGGCTGTGTCCTATAGGCCTGACTTTTGTTCTCGCATGTTTTTGTGGCCCCTCAGAGGATTGGAGGGGCGCAAATTGGGGATACCGCCATAGAACATCCAAGCCTCAAAAGAGCCGAAATATAGGAAACACGGGGGGACGGTGTAGGTGGGAGGAGAGATGAGAAGGTAGATAGAGCAGCATTCAGAACTGGTTCGCTTGAGCAGGAATATCTGCGGCACCTGCTACACTTTAGCACACCCTTACGCGGATGCAGCCTGACAAGGCCATACTTTGCCGAGTGGGCTTGTCCGTTTCGGCTCTACTTGGCCACGCAAGGAGTAGGCGGTCTTGTCACACTTCAGCAAGCCTAGCAGAAATAGCGCATTATGAAGACAACATGATTGTGGTGCCTGCCGGGCCGAAAGCGCGGCTGGCACGCGCTTGCCGCGATGTCATGCAGGGCACGAGAAGCTTGAAGGGGCCTCGAGGCACGGAGGTGCTGGTGTATCTGGTCTTGCCACGTTTAATGGGGAGTCTCTCGGTTAGAAATTAGCGCGAAGCTGCCACATCCTCGTGCCTGGTGGTCTGGCAGTTGTACGTGATGTAGCGGGCGTGCCTCATGGCTGCCTCCTCTATTCTTGCTTCCATAGCCTGAAGGCCTTTCGTTCCTTAGGACCATCACGATTCGATGCAGATATCCAAACCCATCGCAACATGGAAAGCCACCCAGCCCCCTGAGGCCCACAGGCCTCAAAGCCCAAATCTGTGAAATTAACGTGTATATCCTGCTATTCGGAGACCATGCCTCTGCAGGTTGCTCCCCTCTTTGTCTGCCCCTCTTCCCGCCCTTCTGTACATCCTGCTAGCACCCCCCACTCCAGTGTGCAAGCGGAGACTTAGCATGTCGACGCATCTCCTAAGTATGGCAAGCATCCGCCTCATCTGCTTTGGCGGGCTGGGCTCGGCTCCGGCACTTCCTACTACACTGGCTGTGCTGAATTTGAGCTAGACAGAAAGGCCATATAGCTTGTTTTGTCTTTTCGCATGTCGTGCTCCTTCCAGAGTAGTGTTCAAATGGTTACAAGAAGACGCAATGTTGTTTGGGTGTGTGCTAAGGGCTGTACGCAACTGGCTTTTCATGCTCGGAGCGCTCCGGAGGTGCAGTCACTCGCACCCTAACTGGGCCTTTCCCCCGATGTTGAAACTCTGAGGGGTGTCGAAAGGGGAAGGAGAGCGTTAATCAAAGCGCTCAGTAGCTTCCAAGGTTGTATTGAATTCGGGCTTAAGTGTCTCACTACGTGGCCCTTAGACACAGCCGTGCAAGCGCAGTCCACCCAACCGCGATCAGCTACACCCAGCAGCAAACGCACGCAGCGTCACGAAATCATTATCGTTTCTAAATGTGGTCAGAGGGGTAGCTTCTGAGAGGGGGTCTATTTTGCATGCCTCTAGAGGCCAGCAAGAATTTCACCAGGTGGTCTGCTGCACGTACGAATGGCCGAACGGCTTCGCCATGTTCAGACTTAGAAGGCCACACCTCACACGAGCAACCTTTCGGAGTCTTTCCAAAGCCACTGCATTCTTGCATACTTATGCTCTTTTTCTCCGTCGTTCAGCATGCCCGCCCTTACTGAGGACTATGCGCAGCTTCGCCTGCAGGGAGGCTTTTTCGAGGGCCCGCAAAATTTATATTGAAGCGAACTGTACCTAAAACTAAAGTGCCTGCTATGTTCCTAGTCAAGTCGGGGCGTTAAGAGCACAGCGGGGCTATTCTCTGTGGAAGTTTTTTCGGCATTAAAGTTGTTCCCCCCGGAGTCCAAACCTACAGACCGTCGTCACGTGTCTTTAGCACTCGAGCGACAGCAGCAGCAAACAGGGCATGAACGAAGTGAAGACAGCAGCACGGTGCCCCACTTGCACCAGCAGCTGCTACCTTGAGTTACACTTAGCTTTTTTGGCCGTTTCAGGCCAGGCTCAGTTGGTGCCTTCCCTAACAGGCCGTGAGGGACTCGAGGTTAGAGCCACAGGCACACACAGGACACTGGTATACGAGAAAAATCTGCACAGTAGAGGTCCTAGGGGACAGAAGGCGGGGGAAGATTAAGCAGACAACAAGAGGACGGAGAGCGGCGTTGCCTGAGGGGAGGGAACTTGCGCAGGTGCCCTGGAAGCGGGATGCACGAAGATATCCATAAACACGGACATAGAGCCGTATGTTTGCATGAATTCAAACAAAAACTTGCTTTACTGCCCTAATTTGCCGAAAATGTTCCCAAAACTCTGGGAATATTGCGAACTGTCGGCAGTAGGAGCACCCCCAGGATTCGCAGCGGGCGCGCTGCTAGGGATGCCGGGCCATCAGCGGCGGCAATTCCAATAACAATACCAAATCGCCATATGCATTGCTGGTCTCGTGCTGTGTTTGTTCCTGGAAAATGGGGGCTTTAATGGGTGGAAAACTTCCGTGCATTGGCTTGGCTGCAGCCAGCTGCTGCTTCTTCTTGCTGCTGCTGCCGCCTCGCGGCAGCGCTGCCTGCTGGAGCTCCGGCGGCCCTAACAGCACGGGCAGTGGCAGGCCGTTTCTGTGGACGCCCCTATGTTTTTAAAGACTCCTTGGCGCCATTTGAAGAGGAGTAAAGAGCGTTTCAGGGTTTGAAAAGCGGTATTGCCTGCAGCGGATGCCCTAGCAGCAGCCCAAGATCGACGGCAGCAGCGAGTCGCCGCAGTGGCCATCACGCATTTTTGTCGTTGCTGCTGCGCTACTGTAGCTGCAACAACCTGCGGCATTTCCTGCGTGTTTGCTGCATCGGCTGCGTGATGCCGTGTCAGCTGGAAAGACACCAGAACGAATGCCAGCTGCAGGACGGTCCAAGCGGCGTCAGGAGCTGCAGCAACAGTGTGCTTCACAAAAATCCCACTCTTGTGTGCTCTCCCCGTGGCCGCTTCCGCGGCACATGCTGCAGCTGGCCTTTGCGCAGTAGAGCTTCCGCGGCAGCAAAAACAGCAGCAACAGCCCCCGGCAGCTGCTTAGCGAGCTGACTGCGCGAAGGAGGCGGCAGCCACCAACCAAGGCAGGCGAACGTCAAGCAGCAATCAGCAACCTCGGGAGGACGCTGGTGCTGAGTCGGCTGCACCCTCCTTTTGCAGACACACAGAGTCTGCTGCCTTGTTGGCAGCACGCACGCCGCCAACGCAGCATGATGAACGGCAGGACCAGCGCGTCATAGGCAAGGAAACCCCATCAAGCGCTCCAGGCTCAGTCTGCCTAACAGAATCAGGAGAAGAAGCAGAATCTGCCTCACCCCTCAGCTGCTGCAATCATGCCGAAAGCCGCGGCGGGAGCTCGCTATGACTGGACTAGCGATGCAGCCAGTCCCCCGTCACCAGGAGGAGCACCAGCTGCAACAGCAAGAGCTGCAGCAGCGGCGGCAACAGCAAGAGCAGCAACAGCAAGAGCTGCAGCAGCGGCGGCAACAGCACGATTTGAGGCCAGTACCAACGAAATGCTGCGAAAATCTACCCCCAAAGGCCTGGCGTCTCCCCGCTGCCTCACGGCGAGTCTGCTGCCCGCTGAAGTGTATACTCCCTGCAGCAGCAGCGGCAAACCGAATGGCGTTGTGCAACAGCAGCAGCAATATCGCCCCCCCCAGGAAGCCTCCCTTCCCCTTCATCAGCAACAACTGCTAACACACACCGCCTGCATGCATTCCCCTCAGCTTGAGAAGGGGGCTCAGCAGCAGCTCCGGCCGCATGTCGCACAGTACGCACCACGCAGCCTGCGCGCAAGGCAGACACTCGAGGATCTCAGCGGCACCTTAGCAGCCGCAGCAGCAGCAACAACGACTACAACAACGGAGCCAGCAGACAACACAGCAGACCTCGATGCAAAAGAGGCCCTCTGCGCAGCGCCGACTGCGGAAGCACGCCAGACGCGATGGCAGCAGCAGCAGCAGCAGAGGACGTGGCAACGCAAATTCACGAGCCGAGGTAACGCTCAACAGGCTTCCATGCCGCCTTACTTGTCTGCCAGCTGCTCTCCAGCAGCAGCAGCTTCGGCAAGAGCAGAGCCCTCTCCGAAACGCGGGGGGAGGAGGTGCTGCAGTCCTCTTGGAGTTCCCCAGGCTTCGTTGCATCTCTTAGACTTTGGTGGGAGCTGCTCAGCGACCGCTGCATCAAGTTTGGGAAAAAGCAGAAAGGCTTTGCTCACCAGACACTCAAAAGCAGCAGCGGCAGCTGTCGCGGCAGCTGCCCGGCTGAAACTAGGCCCTTCTGGAGGCGTTTCCAAGTGGCAAACTGTTCCTGATGGGGAGCTCTATGTTTCTCGATGCAGATTGAAGGGTGAGCGACGGCTGCTGATTCTCCTCCTGCTGTTTTTACTGTTGCTGTTGTTGCTGCTGCTTTTGCTGCTGATGTTTTTGTTGCTGCTACCGCTTTCGTCGTGTTTGTGCTTACGCAAGGTTGCACTGCACGTTGTATGCCTTCTGCGAGAAGTGGAGCATGTTCTGCCTCTTGAGGCTGCGCCTTTCCTGGTGCCTCTTTCCAATACTGTCTGCACTGCATTGCAGCGGTGTCTGTCCTTCTCGTGTTTTCTGCAGGCCTGAAGAAGTGGCTTGCGCACACCACGCGGAGGAAGGGAGAGCTAGAGCGTCAGCTCGCCAGAGGGTTGCACCCTGAGCAGCTCACGAGTCTCCTGCTGCAGTCTCGACAGATACCTCCCCACGCGAAGCGAGCTTTACTGCTACTGCAGGATGCTCCCGCCGCTGCAGTTGCGTCGTTGGCTGCGTCTGCAGCCGAGGGAGACCGCGCATGCGACAGCAGCAACACATGGGGAATGGAATCTGTCTACAGCGAGGAGGAAGTGACTTGCTGCTCTCTGGGGTGCTGCAGAAATCAGCGGCAGCCAGCAGAACCTCCAACTGCGCGTGCTGTCGCTGGTGGAATTTCGCAGCAAGGCGAAGCAGACGACGATGTGGCCCGTGTATTGCGCTGTTGCTCATTCCAAGGGGCGTTGGAATGCATCTGCAGTCATAAAGGCATCGCCAACAGGGATGAATTTGCCATCAGTATGCCGCTCCCACTACTGCAAGTCTACATTTGGGGAACTCCGTTGCGGGAAGGGGGGAGAGAGGGGAGGAATGGCGGGTGCTTGTCCTCTTGTTCCTTGCGCGTGGCTGCGACTGCATGTGGGGGGTGACCTTTTAAACTCGCCGCATTGTGATGAGCTTGCTCGCAAGAGCGCCTTACGGCGTGATTCAGCGTGGCAGCAAACTTGAGATGCGGCTTCCACTGCTCCTGCGCTGCTTGCCGTCTGTCTGTCTGTGTAATGCGCTGTTCAAGATGCGTCTGCGCGTTCTTTCTCCTCAGGCCTCGCCTGCCCGCTGAGCTCCATGAGAGGCTTGATTTTCAGCCGTCAGGTGCTGCAGATTCTCCAGCAACAGCAAGTGCAGCTGCAGCGACACGCTAATCTGTTTGCTGCTTTGTGGCGTCTGGCACTGCCGCACCGGCCGCTGGGTAGCAGCCCACCCAGCGGCTGGAAGCTTCTGGGATTTCAAGTATGTCTCTGCTGCTTCTCTCGTTGCACTTCAGAGGGCAGCTGCTACTGCTGCTTCCTCCCTTCCTCTGCTGCCGGTGTACTCAACTCTGACTCTCTTCTCTAGAGGTTTGTCTGCTGCTTTCGCTTCCAAGTGTCTAGCGCGCTAGACTTTTTTGCAGCGAGCTGCCTCAAAGCCTGCAACTCTTCTTCTCGCTGCTGCTGCTGTGAATAGGGAGAAGATCCATCGACTGATTTTCGAGGCTGCGGGCTGCTCGCGCTTCGAGCACTCGTCTTTTTATGCTACGCCTTCCCGGAGGCAGCGCAGTGCATGGTGAGGCAAGAAGACGGGAGCAGCAACAGAGACAGAAACAGGAACAGCAATAGCAATATCACCAGCAACAGCAAGAGCAAACGTGTTCGCAACAGCAAGAGCAAAAGTGTTAGCAACAGCAGCCACAGCTCGTGGACGAGCTACTCGTTCGCGATAACCTTAATCAACATATCGGCGTGGCTGTGGCAGTGGTTGCTTCTGCGGCCTGATGTATCGCCGTATTTCTGCGACTGCCTTTCAACGCGCGCTGCTGAGACAACGTTCTACTATCTGTTTTGCTTTGCGGCTATCCAGTTCCACCGCTTTTGGGCAGCGTACAAGCCGCAGACCCCTTTGGAGTTCCCTTATGTTGCAGCCGCCTTCCAAAGACGGATCAGCTTCCCCCCCAACACTCCGGCCTGTCAGCTGGTTCTGCCGCACAGCCAGCAGCAGATGCAGCAGCAAGACGCAGCAGGAGGGCAGGGGTTTAGCGTGAAGGCGACGAGCGCAGCAGCAGCTGACACTGCACCGAGTGGAGAGATCTGGAGGTGTCCGTGCTGCTTGGCGGAGGGAGCGCCACTCCCTTGGGAAGTTCCTTTATGGCTTTCGCAGCAACAGCACGGCAGTGCAGGAGAGCTGGAGCGCCAGAAGACTGCAGAGGAGCCTGCAGCAGAACGGGCTTTTTGTGCAGCTGTGCTAACGACAGCAGTCGCGAGAGGGCTGCTCGCAGGAGCAGCAGCTCCCAATCCCTCTTCCGACACGACAGTGCCTGATGAGGGCCGCTCTCCGGCAACTCCCCCCATGCTGGGCGGTAGTAGTAGTAGTAGTAGTAGCAGCAGCAGCAGCACGAGCAGCAGCAGGGAAACCTCCAAAAATGCAGCGGCTAGACCGCACCAACACATGGCGCACCAGCGAGACCGCCTGCAGCAACACGAGCAGCAGCAACACGAGCAGCAGCAACAACAACAGCAACACGAGCAGCAGCAGCAGGGAGTTAAAAGCCCCGCCAGCCTCAACGGTGCAGCAGCACGCACTCCGGACGTGGTGCGTTGTCGTGGGGGCAGCAGTTCCACGAGCAGGGGTGTTAGCAGCAGCAGCGGGAACCGTACCGTAGCCAGTTCTCAGGGGGGCAGCCATCGGGAAGGCAGGAGACTTCACGCGTCAGCAGCAGCAGCGGCGGCAGCGGCGGAGACTTTGCAGCGCTGCCGCAGAATGCAGGAGCTGCAGCGCAATTCCGTTCTTGGAGTCTCTCCGAGGAGCCCGCGGGGGCAATCCTCGGGTTCTTCCAGCGCTAGTTGCACGCAGGAGCCAACTGTACCGCCGAAGGGGACGCGATGCAGAGCTAATGGTGCAGCGGCAGAATGCTTGTACGTTCCAGCGTCGGGAGGCAGCAGCAACGCCAGCAGCCTCTGCAGCAGCAGGCTTGTGTGCTCAGCCCCTCAAGCCGCGATTGCGGCAGCAGGCACGGGGAGTCAGAAGGCCTGCTGGAATTCGCCGCCAGTCACTGGAAGCAGCAGCTTCGTGAGCAATGCCAAATGTGACCTCAAGGCCCCTGCTGCCCCAACTGCAGCAGCGCCGGCAGTGCTGCAGCAGCAAAGGCTGCAGCAGGTGTGTATGGCGCGCCCTTGTGCTTCGAGTATCCTGGTTTCTAGGTCAGGAAGCACGCGGTAGAGCCTTACGCAGCTCGCGATGCAGCGGCACTAGTGCTGTAGAAATACCTGCCCGAAATTCGTGTTATACGAGCACCTATATATTCTACCTCCCCCTGGTTCCCCCCTGATCCGCCAGAGGCCTCCGTCGCAGGCAGCGAAATTTCTCCTTGGCATACGGAGGCCCCACGCAGAGGGGCCTTACGCTTACAACCTTGGTTTTTGAGTAGGGAAAAAAAGGCAGCAGTGGAAGCGCCAGCAGTGCTATTTAGACGGTGGCGGGTGTCGCCTCTGCAGACGACTCAGATATGCCAGCAACATTTGCTAAGGGCATGCGTGCCCCTTTTCCGCCACGCCCCTCCTGCCCTGGAGGGCAGCCTCTTAGTGCTGTAGTTTCAAGAGGGCCTCTTCCAGAGGGGCCCCTCATAAGGCTTTATTCAGTGTGGTTACAGCGCGCCAAGACGCGCAGTACCATCACCTTTGCGTGCACAGACTGCAGCAGAGGTTTTGCCTTATCAGGACTTAATTAGCGTCACAAGAGGGTTTAGGGCTGAGCACTGCCAGGGGCCGAAGGGATATGGTTGTTTGCCCTCTCGGGTTACAGAGAGGCGGCCTACAAAGAGTGACGGGTAGGGAACTTGGGCGAAATATGTATTCTGGCACGCAAAGACGGGGGAATGCAACAACCTACGGCTTAGGGAGGTGCAGACATAGAGGGAGGGTGCCAGAAAGGCACGAGGACTAGAACACAGGCACCCGCGGGAAAAAAGAGGCACACACACACACACACTGAGACTTGAAATGTGATGGGTTGTAGCCCCCTCTTTCTCCCTGCATGCACTCCAGTGAGCACAGCGAACCAGCCAGAGAGCGCGCAACAGCTGCAGCAGTGGCTTTCTCTTTACCTGCTGCACTCAGTTGGCAGCTGCCACAGGGTAGCAGCCGTGCGTCACACAGTGGCGTATGCGGTGCTGCTGCTGCTGCATATTTTTGCTCGTGCCGCTGATTCTACTGTCGGGGCTGCTGCCCTGAACACTTTGATGGCTGCTGTCGAATGGGTGTGGCTGCAATGAAATTTTTGGGGACGCCAAAGGACATGCCACAGCCACATGTCTTGGAAGCATTCGGATTTCCCAACCTGAAAAGATAAGGCACAAAGGCGCTGAGGCTGGTGCGCTGGAAGCGACATAAGACCACAGCACAGGGGGGGAACGGAGGGGAGTAGAGGGGGTAGAGGATGGAAGTGGATGGTAAAGGAGGAGGGAAAAGCAGGGGAGTAGAGGGGGTAGAGGATGGAAGTGGATGGTAAAGGAAGAGGGAAAAGGAGGGGAATAGAGGGGGTGGGAGGTGGAGGTGACTCCCACCGGCGGGAGCAGCAGAAATGGCATCGGGAAAGGCAGGTTCACAAGAAACAAGAGCGTAAGGAGACCTACTTGAAGCCCCCCCCCATAAGGTCGTTGGAGTAGCTGAGGACAGTTCCGAAGACGTAAAAGAAGGAGTGGGGGTCTATAGCAAAAGACACTCCGAAAGGGAACTTCTCGATGTAGTCATCTTCCCGAATATCGGACTGGAGCCGCAGCAACAGCGCATGGGAGAGTAGAAGAAGATAGCAGAGCCAAGATACCTCAGGAGGGCACCTTCAGACTAGGAATACATCATCAGAGATACGGGAAAGGCCTCTTAGAGGCGGCGTGGAACAAACAAACAAGGAACAACATGCAGCGGGAGGCCTTAAAACCATACATCAACAGAAGAAGCAGCGACGAAAAATACAAACAGCGGGCGTACAAGGCGGGAAAGTGCTGCAGCGGCAGCGAGAATTAGAAACGCGAAGCAGGTGAGCAGCTGGGCAGGAAGCAAGTGGGGCATGCCAAGGCATATTACGGTTCAGCACCAATGCAGAAAACAAGGCACACCCATAGGATATCACCTTCTCTATGGTTTGGAGAGAATAGGAAAGGCCGCTACAGCCCCCTGGTTTTACTGCTAGCCGGAGTACTAAATCCTCGCTCGTGCTGGTCCCCGTCACTCCCATCATTTCCTGAACCACCCACAGAAACAAATAGGCATGAAGATGCATTATCTATCTGCATAAAGGCAACATGCAGAGTGTGTGCAAGCAGCTATGCATATGCCTAGGCGTGCTCTAGATAGGCACATGAATTCTTATGGCCTGCTGATATGTATACGCGTGCGCATACATATCAACAACCTCGTAGGTAGACGCATGCGGTAGCGCGCAAAGACACAGTTTGCGTCTATGTATGTACACATACATGTATGGATGGATGATATGTATGTGCGTGTCTACATCCGGAGATATCCTTTACATACAATACCGTTAACACGACAGCTGGCCGGGTGCATGGGGGCCTTCGCAGGCACAGCCGCCGCTGCCCGCATACCTTCAATTTGTGCTCCGCACTCTCTGCAACAACCAAGGCTTGAGGTGCCTTCTTGCTGCTTTTGCTGCTTTTGCTGCTCTCGAGTTTGCTGGTGGTCATGGGCTTCTCGCTGGTGCTATCGCTTTTGCTGCTGTATTCGTTGCAGCCGTCGCTGTCGGTACCCTTGCTAGAAAAAACATTGCTGTGTGTGCCATCTGCGAATGTATTGCTATAAAGGGCAGGCGCCATATGCCCTGTGAAAAGGAGGGTCACTTTGGGGAGATTACCTCGAGGGCCCTTTTCCTGTACCCATCGCCATGGACTCCGCGAGGCTGGCAATACAGTGGATTTACAGTAAAGCGATGAGAGGATGATTTGCAACAAGAAGAATATCAAAATTAGGAGACCCCCTGGAAAGCTGGTGCGGAAACAGGGGGCCCTCGAAAGGGCCCCCCCCATCGTATCTCTCAGGTAAATCTGGGAAGGAAAACGGTATTTCCTTATGACACATTCATTTGGATCTATCAAAAACAACGCATTGCGTTCGTGTCTGCTGCCTTTTGGGGCGGATGGACAAGAGAGCGAGTATTGGCTTTGGTCGGCGCGCCCGTGGAGCTGCTCTCACAAGGGCCTCACGGAGGGCATGGCGTGGCTGTCTCTTCTGCTGCACAAAGTACAAGTGTAATGGCAGGCTGCAGGGGAGTCGAAAAGGTGCTTCTTTGTAGCTCATGGTCCTTCTTCCTCGCTGGAAGGCAAACGGCAGGGAACTTAAACTTCCCTGCAACCCCCTGGTGCAGGGCACACTGCCGCCTGGGACGAATCCCAGGGTTTCTGATAAGAGCATGTCCAGGATCAAGGATGTTACACTTTCGGGGCAGCTGCTTGCATTGCATGCGCAGTTGACACACAAGAAAGCCAAAGTTCGCTCCCGGTACATCCACTGTCTAGGTGGACGCCTGAGCTGACGATGCGAGGCGCTGCTGGTCATTAGGTAGGCAGGCAATGATATATGTTTTCCAACGCCGGTATTGGAATGCTCTACCTGCCCACGAAAACTATTGGCGTTCCGTGCCTTTCTGTGTCCATTAGGCTACGCTGCTTAAACTCGATGGAATGCCTCTTATTGGCTCCGCATCAGGCAAACTAAACTGAAAAACTGTGCAAACAAGAGAAGAATAGTTTTACTGCCTTCGAGAACACGGGGTTTCATTTTTCCCAGGGATACAGAGACTTGGGTTACTTAGGGAAGCGAGGCAGGAGTGCAGGAACAGCTAGCCTCGTGAATTATCCAGACACTTACGTGTATACATCTATGGCTCAGCACACTGAAATTCAACATAGAATCATGCGGCAAGACTGATTTAGGCACGCTTCGCATGGGGAGCTTTACATATGGGTGATCATTCAATGCAGTGAGGCTCGACTCCTTATGCATCGATGACCCAGAGCGGTAGCTCCGTATGTGCGGAGGGTTACACGGTGCGTACGACCTTCCATACAGCTGATCGGCGCCGGAAGATGCTGTTCCATCGTGCAACTGGTATGCGCCGACTTAATGGGCGCGAATTTTCTTTAGCTGCAAGCCTTTTGATCACTGTGCCCTTAAACATTACGTGCCGAATCCAGCACGCACCAAATACCGCACAGAATAACACCTGAGCCGGATGCCTGCCGTTTACTATATGCTTGGCGTCCCCCTCCTCTGCCCAAAAGCAATATATTGACTGGACCGTACCGCAAATAGCGGAAAATCAATGTACCTAGTGCTGGTTGTCCCCTAAGCGTTGCCTGTTTCAAGACCAGTTCCAAGGCCCCATGACCTATCATCTTTGCGTGCTACGCAAGAGGCAGATGTCTGTGAAATCTTAGCTCCTGAGCTTCTTTGGGAACGCAACACATTGAACGAGGCTTTGTGGGGTCAATAGTTGTTGGATCCCTCGCACAGGCGTACGGCAGATGCTGTAAGCAGTGGAGCGCGCACTCTTTTAACTCCCGGCCCACCAAGTGGCAAGCGATCTGCCTCCGGAGATCCCGCATGCCAGTAAACAGGAGCTTTAAGCGGCGGGAGCCACCTTTTACATCTTCGGTACGCGATGCGCTTTAGCGACTCGTAAAGCGCTGGTGCGGAGTGCCGAGGATCAATGCCTTTATCAGGTCATCACCAACTTGTACGGGTTGGGGAGGGCTTCTGTGGGATGGAATGCGAATGCCAAACCTGCGCTGTACACCAAATTCAAGGACACACTTCAAACTCGCACTAATCCCCCCGATTACAAGCAAACTCGCATGCTGGACCTCACGACCCGGGAGATAACCTTCTTCAGCGCGCATCTTGGACTTACCACAGCACATGGCACCCAGCGAGCGCAAGGCATAATGTAGCGCCGTCCGCGAGTTCAATTACAACCTGCAAAACCATAGTGGATGGCAATGCAGGGATGTTGAGCATTCCAGTCGGTCCAAGACGGAACTCGAGAGGTCCCATCTGGGGCCTCAGTCAGACGTAAACACGCGTAGCTCTCTACAGAGTTCCCATAACTGCTGGATCTGCGTGTCGATGTCTTGTGCTTGGACACCTTCACATGGTGCAACCTTTAAGCTACGGGTCACCCTACGTCTAGCTAAGACGTGCAACCGTGTGACAAAGCGGGCAGTCTACCTTTGTCAGAACGCAGATGCAGGCAGCAGCACAGAGGCGCGCCGCAAAGAGCAAGGAGAAGACTGGTCCAAAGTTTTTGTGGCCGAACAGATCCGACGTCAAGGAGGGCAGTAGCGAAAACAGCCCGCCGTGGCAAGCGTTCAGCAACGAAAGCCTGACATACAAAGCACGCCGCGCTGTTACTTCATGAACGACAAGGATGCGCTCCAAAAGGCGCCGTACCAGTGCTCAGGCAGAGCAGCTCTAAGGTGAGAGAACATACTTGAACACTTACCAAAGAGCAAAGTTCCGGGGTGAGGATACACTGCTGCGCATGAACGTTACTAAGAGCGCCGCCATGCAAATGTTCATTATGATCTGCAGCAGCACAGCACAGCACAGAGGCTTAGAAGCGGGGTTCGCCACCATGGTTTTTGGGAAAACTTTACACGTGAGTAATTTTCGCAGGTAGACTAACTACGATCAAGGAGTTTTTAAATGCACGGGTGGGTGCGCCAGTGAGTGTGTGCATGCTGGGCATACTAGTGCGCGCTTGTTGCCCGCCTTGTTGCCTATGTAGCCCCAGACCAGACGCCCGGCTACACATAGAGCGCCTGCCACTGCGCCGACAATGCTGAGCTGCAAGTCAGTAATGGACTGCCAATTATAGAGGCCGTCTGCCACTGCTGGCACAACGCTGCGATCCGGGGCGTCGATGTACAAGCTCGACGGCACTTTATGGATGAAACCGAAGGGCACGATCTTCCACATGTATGCTGCTACAAGGACTGATTGCCAGGAGAAGAACAGCATCATGAACAAGAGCCAAAATGAAGGCGAGCTGCACAGATCCTGGGGTGTTAGCACGAAGGAGGAGAGGAGAGACGCCGCAGTCGTTGGGGAGGGCGCTGCAAGCAACCAGACCTCTTGAGAGCCATATGCAACTTGAGATGTTTGTCTGTAAACGAGCACAGCCAGGAGTTGAACGTAACGAGTGACTAAAACTTGGAAGGCAAACCTACAGCGAATCTCTTCAATAAGCTTCCTTCGCTCCTGTGCATCCAGTGGCAAGGGGGGAGGATCCGACAACAATGCGGCCCCTACTGCCTGCATCACCCACGGCATAGTTGCGCAGTGGACATGCGTGGGAATCCGAAGCTGCCCAAGCGTTTTCAGAAGAAGACGCAAAGTCGATTTCTCCGTTTCCACGAGGAGCTTTTAAACGGCTGCATTTCGCTCACCTGGAGTGCCAGGCATCCGCCGGCCATCACCAAAAACAAGGAGGGCAGGCGTTGCAGCACATCGGTATCCGTTATGTACACCTCCGGCGCTGAGAAATCGAAGAATCCGCGACATTCACAGAAGTAATCACTTGCTCAAAGTTCTAAGCCACGCAGCAGGAACCAGTAGCATGCACACGGCCTTTTAAACCGTGACACAGAATGAACCCCGGCCTGACCTGCCCAACTATCCGACGGTGATCCAGCTGGCGATACAAATGACAACAGCGAGTGTTGCGAGGTACGGAAGAGGAACAGGGAGTGCAGAGGACACAGGAGGCAGACGGATAGGCTGCGGCCAAGGAAGATCACGCAGCTAACCTACGGCGCAGAACACATTGAAATGCAATCCTTGCACCATGCAGGCAGCTGCCCCCAAATCCGAACGCTACAGAACCCGAAGCCTCTGCGACACAATGCGAATTTTTGTGCAGACTGTGCAACTGCATCAACTGGACCATGCAATAGTCAAACGAAACACGGGGCCATTACTTACAGCACCCTTCCGGTCCGGCTGCCACTCAAGGGCGCACGTCAGCGGCACCGGGTAGCAAAGGCCGCTGCCAATGGCCGTTACAACGCCGAAGGAAAGGCTGCAGGATAAAGTGCCCACAGCACATCGCAACCCCAGAAATACGCGGCTGATGCGCAGTGAATTCGCCATAGGGAGCGGTAAGAAGAAGCCCAGATCGATTCCAGGGCATGTGGAGGAGCACCCGTTCTCGGCTTACCAAAACAGGAAACAACTGTGCAGCGTCAGGGCAGACATAACAAGTCCAATGCTCATTATAGATCCTCCTAGAAGAGTCGCCCTGCAGTGGGCACATCAGAGCAGCGGGTGCTATCGCGTTCACGACGCTCTGTCAGTATCGACTTGTGTTGCGGAACTTCAGAGCGCACTCAAGGACAGGCCTCCCGAGTGTCGTTTAAAACACACTTATACTTAGAGAGCAGGCTGAGGAGAGCGCGAGGGTCTTGCAAAGTTGAGGGCTCTTGCGGATGCCAGCGCAAGTTGCGCCTTCTCAGTGGCGTTTCGGCGTGCATGAGAGATGCCATGGAAAAGTCAAAGGATCCTGAACCTACTTGGAGGGGCCAAGGGCCCTATGGAGTCTACCACCAAAGAAACCCGCAATGCCCTGAACCAGGACGGCGGATACGTACAAGACCAGTCCATCCTGCAGAAAACGAGATGGGCAGTTGGTGTAGCGCCGGTATTACGTGTGCATCAAAAGGTTATTTCACAAAACTATGAGCCCTTTACTAATGACAGGAAAGTCCTACATGATATCGAATCGAAGAAGACGGCTGCAAAACGCGCATGTAGGCAATGATCAGGGGGGCGATATTTCCAAACGCGTGAAGGCTTCCTGCGAAACAAAGCAGTGCAAACAGCCTCAATTGCCTCAAAGATATGCAGCAAAACAACACGAGTCCAAGGTTCTCTCATCGAATCTGGGGCTTGTATCTGGCATTCAAAATGCCCCTACCCAGAGTTAGGTGGATGAGGAACGCCCCTACTAAGACCATGTGCGCCCTGCACTTGTACATGCCCATGGCCGCCTGCAGCAAAAAAGGAGGCACATTGCTAGATGAAATGTCAAAAGATTGCTGCGAAATGCTGCATTGACGTGCTTCCGACGCTGCTGCCCATGGACTCGCGTTCAAGTGTAATTCCATGAGAATCGACACATTACCACTCACCTTGGGGCTCGGCGTACTGACGCTTTCGCCATACATGGTGGCTGCCCGAAAAATCCCCTAATATTTGATGTAAATTTAATGAAGGGAAGCAGCCTGGGGACCTTGAGGCGCGTCAATCGCAAGAAGGACTCTTCTGTGTTGGGCGCGATACTAGGAAGATATCCTCGTGCCTTTTAGGCAACGACTGAAACCGGAACGCATAAAGCACGTCCCTGGCACGTCTGGAAGCTGGAATCCTAAGTATCAAGAAGCCAATGATCCATCTAACCACGCAAAGACACCTTCTTCCGGAGGAAAGGGCATGTGTTGGTGCCGATTGCGCCGACGGGCACCGACGGCATTTCCGGGGGGAAGGATGCCAGAATCCACGTCCTCTGGAGGACACACTGCACAGCTTGTAAGAGTACTATTTAGCAGTGTTAATAGACACAAATACAACAAGTTCAGCCGAGTAGGCGTCAAGACTCCCAAGCCCCCACGAGGCGTTCCGCCAGAATCCGGTCAGATAATATCGCGGCTACACCAAAATTACGGCTCCTCAAAGAGTTGCTTCCTTCAAAGTATCTTAATCTTCTATCACAAACTCGACGACAGCTACTTCACTAGTGCAGCGTTCCACATCCACCCGCAACGGAGACAACCATCCAGCCCCGAGAGCCTCCTCAGTCCCCACAACACTTTTTGTCGGACCTCGCGGTAATTAGCACACACAGCACTGCCAATATCTTGCTAGTAAACTCCTTCCATGCGAATACACTAATCCGCGTTCCTTTGGTTTGCCATATAAAAAAGCGGTTGCGACCGTGTCTCAGGGACGCCTCCACGAAGACCGAGGAACACTTTGAAAATAAAGAAATGAATCCCGCACTACATGCGCTGTAGATACAACACTGTTTTCGTGCCAGAAAGACTTAAGCCGTGTAGTCTATGATATTGCTGTTGAACGCGTGGAGTGCCCCTCGGTAAAGCGAAATCGTGCATATAGTAGGTCGACAAGCAAAGGGTTTTGTGCCTATAAGCACACTTAAAGCCTGTTGGTGGTGATTATTCAGGAATGTCGTCGGCACCAGTACCTAAGCGAAAGGATATCAGTTCATCATTCCCAGTCGCTTACTCGTTTTAGCGAGGCTGGTTAATTTCAAGCTGTTGAGCACAACCGCCATCTTCTGACGGTGCCAAGATGCCCTTCCTAGAATTCTACAGACGCTGTAACAAATTGTTGTTTGCCCCACTATATGCCAGACTTCTTGCATACAGTGTAGTCTCATTAGTCGTGTTTGAAGGTATTCGACAACTGGAACTGTTTGCCTCCACTTAGGGTCTTATACGGAGGTACGTAGACACAAGCTTTATAGACACTCGATGAAACCTTACAAGATATCCTTTAAATACAGTTCCTCTCTCTTCCATACCCTCACTGCTATGAACTCCTGTGTTAAGGGAGAGAAAATACGGGATTGCGTGGTGCTAACCCTTCAAGCGCTCCAAGCAATCACAGCCAGTGAATTGCCAGCGGCGCAAATGCCCACCGCGTAAAGTCCTTGCGTATTTGGGCAATTCTACGATCAATTCTGTACGAATTCATAGTTTAATTTCGTTACTCTAGAATCAAGTGTCAAATGAAGCTTAGCCCGCTACGAGTACCCTGGACGTGATCGGATCAGGATGCACTTCAGAAGCCTGTAGGATCATCTTCCTGATGCAGTATGAAAAAGTACGGCCTTATTCCTTGTCGATCATTTACAAAAGATGTCAGCAATCCAGACTTTTTTCAAATAATACATTCGCCCGCAGAACTTCATGAGGGCCAGTGTACCTATTCTCCTGCGCAAAACTGCACGCAATACCCCAACACCACCATTGTTCGTTCCATCATTGTTCTAACGATACGCTTCCCTGCAGTTCAGACATATCTTAGCTAGGAAATTCATGTACAAAGCTTAATCCCCTTTTGAAATGGGTTTATCAATACTGAACCAGGCAGTATCCTGCCGACAATGACTTTACCGCTTACACACGAACAAAGCCATGCATGTATAACAGAGCATTTACAAGCTGCTAACACGCACTGCCTCTTTGCTCACCACGCTTTATACATTTCCCCACCTTCTGGTGCGGCCCAGGGTACACGTTGTATATGGCAGCATAGTCCTGAACGGGCTTGTGATGCCCATAGAACACAACATATCTATCTACTTTCCCAGTCTTGCGAAGATTTGTGGCATGCGCGGCGGGTTTGTGGTTTTAGGCGTAGCATGGGTGGCCCGCATTCATAATAGAATACCGAAAGTGTTAGTACAGCATATAACACACTATAACCAACCAGCTATGACGGCTGGCCCTCATTCGCCTGGAGGACAACTGCCAACTGTCACTCCGCCCCTCATGCCCAAGCATTCCGCAGAGCATCTGAAAGGCTCCGAGGATTCATAAAGGTGATTGCTGACCTCTGATGTTCATTGTTCCCTTCGCTCGCGATCGTTACATGGTCATTGCTTCAAAACCGTCCGCTTCTTGGATATGGGGAAGCAACCTCAGTACAGTGCTTCAGAGCTACGAATAGGGCGAAAATGTGAAGGCATCACTTATGATCCCCGAGACAGCACCAAGAATCCTGGCTAAAGGGCTCCTCAACACATGTAATATTTAAGACAAATCAAAAGTATTCCGAACTGCAATGGCGTGACAGAAGGATTCAATTTGGGACCTCATGTTCAAACTTCTTCATCTGATCTGGGTGCAAAAAAGCGCCTGGCCGATCCTCTCTTTAGATTAAGCTCGGCTACTCAAATACAGAGTGTTATAACCAAAAAACGCAGCTGCGAGGTCAGTCGCTGGCAGCACCGTGCAAGCTGGGAGAGAGCGCATGTGTCAATCTCGAGTACACCGTTGATTTTCAAGACTTCTAAGTCCAGCGCTCGCTAGCCTTTCACCAGTGTCGAGACAGGGACCTAATTGCCATGAGTACAAAAATTGCAATGCGTATCGAGCAAGTGCCGCGTGAATACTGCCTGTCCTGTGACTGGCTTCCATATGCGCGGTTGCACCTCCCAAAATGCCAAATGAGGTGCCAAAAGGTCGTTTAAAAGACCCTTCTTCATGTTCTCGACATTCGGGCTGCGTTTACGAGACCCAACGGACCTATATGCTTCTCACTACGGTACAATGTCGTTCTCTGGTAGCAAGGATACGTCTGGGAGCCGCAGGTGAAATGCTTTCTCAGGCCTTGACGCTGTTAACGTGTTCAATATTTTATCGCTGCTAACTTGGACGCGACAGCTCAGTCTTCAAAAGGCACTGGCGTTAAGTTCTTCAATACCTCTTCAACACTCACTTGGGTCTGCCACTTTGGCTGCAAGCCAAAACATTTAAGCAGGAACTCTAGGATAGTCTGTGAAGCCTGCACGAACGAGCAGCGCATCACGGAAAAGGACAAGGCCTCAAATTCACGAGTACCGAGCAACAGTAGATTCTAGACACAGAGCCAAAGAAACCTAGTCATGGAAAGTCTCGCCAAGCGTGCCTGTGTTTGTCTGTCAGCGCGCTGGAGGAAAAGCAGTAGGGAAAGCGCGACCGACAATCTGCATACCTCTGCCCCCGTCAAGACATCGTTTAGAAGGATGCAAATAGAGAGATTCATTTCCGGAAAACACATTGCTATGGATCCTCCCATATCGCCATGACCAAGCCCAACTACGCCGCGAGGTTTGATGCCGAGGGTCGCCCCCCACGGATGAGAAGCAGACAAACCCCTGTCTCGTAGCAGAGCTTCGGCATCCACCATGGAAGCAGGCCCGCCACTGCCTGCTCCTCCATATCCAAACAGGCCGCTTTCTTGTGGTAAGCGTCTACGTCGCACCGGGTTCCCCTCACCAAAGTTCGACGCGCGGCTGTGCAGCAGAAAGGTAGATCCGGTGGGGGCTCCCTGCCCTGGACGGATTGCACCCCAGCCGGGAGAATTTACGAATGAGCAGTCGTACAGCTGGTAGCCCAAACCCCAAGTTCTACTGCCTCCCCCAGTAAGCAGCAGAGACTCTAATGTGGGATCCACAGTGTGAGCAACGCGCGCCGCATCGAGAAGTGGCTTGCTAATGATTCGGCCTTCTCCCAAGGCCGAGTAGAAACGCGCAAGGGCTCTCGCAGTGCAACGACAATTGGTAGGCGGGATCAGCTGGTTCACGATGCGGTGGCTGTCATATATAAGAGGGTCCATCACATGTGGCTTTGTGCGTATCAGCTCCACCACGGAAACGCGCGGCGCGGCACCAGGGGCAGCAGGTGTAATTGACGGTGTGTCGGAGTCAGAATCCGGAGTCCCCGGCCCTTCCGTGGCAGCATCGCTGTGAGAGAAACCGTCCTCTTCTTCCGATTTATGACGCTCGTCCTCACGCTGCCTGTTCAGCCTCGAATGTGGTAACAAATCTGGGAGACTTTCCGCGGTGCGTGTAGCAATCGCTCGCGCTCCCCCATTCGACTCAAGAGGCCCGGAACCGCCTTGCATATTGTGGAGGCGGAGGCGGCGCTGCAGCATGGCCGAAGCGATGCACTTTCTCGCCTGAGTGTCTTCTGCCGAGGAGAATCCATCGGTAGCTTCCGGCTTGGCGGCCTTGAGCTTTCCTTTCGCTCGTTCGAGGCGCTGCAGCACCTCTTGCTGCGTCATTGGACTGAATGATATCTTCCTCCGAGCAGATGTTAGCCTCCACAGGAAAGGCGTGCTGGCCTGCACAATCTCCACACCTTTTGGAAAAGAGGAAAGCTGGTGCTTCCCCCACTGATGCGGAGGTTTCCTACCTGTAGGGCTCGGCCCCCTGCGAGGTCCAGGTGCGCTGGCGGCTGCTGGCGGCTTCAGAACAGAGGCCCTGTCCTCCAATGCTTTATCACTTAGCAATGGATTGAGCGGTGAAGCAGCGGTTTGGCCTCCCACCGAGCCGTCCTGCTGTGGCAAACGAGGATTCGGAGAAACGCGTATTGACGGACTGCCGCTGGAGAGGCCCCTTGCTTCGCCCGCCGCTTTCCCTTTATCTCCGTGGTACGCTGCTTCGTGCGGTCTTCCTCGCGTTGAAACTTTCTGCTGATCAGGCGTCAGGAAGGTGCGATTGATGTCGCTACTAGAGGGCTGCCAATTCTGGCTGTGAGTGAAGCTGCTCTTGGCGTTCGGGGAGGAAGCCCCCTGGGGGCCTGCGCTTTTGTCGCTACTCGACTCTGGCTGGGGGGGGACGACTGATTTCGCTGCAGTGTTGGCAGAGTAGAACAAGGATTCGACCCCCGGATCGCCTGTTGAAAATGTCTCTCTTTGCCTCGAGAGAGAGGAATGTCGAGGCCCCCGCAGAGCAGGATCATTATTTAAGGATTGCTGAGCGTTCCAAGCGATCCCAATGCTGCTGCTGCTCCTCCGCTTCAAGCGGGGGCTGGGTGGCGTAGGGAAATCGCGCGCTGGCGAGGCCCTGCTCTGTTCTGGTCCTAAACCTGCGGGCATGTGCGATGGGGGTTCAGCAGCAGCCTGCTCTGCTGCCGCCTCTGGCAGCCTCATGAAGATTTCGCCTTCCAAGTCCAGCGGTTCTAGGAGCCGCTCTCGTATAAACGTATCAATGGGGATACCCGACACACACCGGACCAACTCGCTTACAGCCCACCCGTATGTGAGATACGCATAGCGTCCTAAGGCACCGGGAGCGCATGCCGGAGGCGCATCCTCGACGATACGCACCATCTCACTGTAATCGGCTAGCCGAGATAGCGTTAGGTCGGATGGCAGAGCGCGATGCAGGCCTGCTCGGTGTGTCAGCAGTTGCTGCACAGTTACTGCACGCTTGCCGTAGCGAATGAATCCATCCCACCAACTTGAAACAGCATCGTCAAGCTCTAGTTCGCCGCTGCTTACGAGCTGCAACAACGCAGTACTCAAGAGCCCTGCGTAGCAAAGCAAAGCCACACAAATCAACGCAACGTTTACTGCAGGAACAAAACTTTGTTCAACACAAATTCGATAAACACTTCCACGACAAGTCTTTTTTAGGTCAGCCGCTAGCAGCAGGCCTAAAATGCGGTCCCGTGTGCTGCCCCGCCCCCTAGGCGCTCACGATTGCCCAGCTTATACGAGGAGCTCCAACTAACCTTTTGTTGTGCAGTATCCACAAAACAAGGAATCAGGAGTAACTGGACGCGTATCCACAGGTCCCATCTGGCCAATGGCCACGTCGACGATCATTTCCTCCTCAAAATACACGGCAACTTGGCATCCAAGCACCAACTTTTGCTTTACAAGGTAGCACAGCAACCGACTTAAGCGTTGGTTGAGCGAGCTGAACACAATTCAAGCGGCCCCACAGCAAGCAGCAATCGAGTCGAAACCAAAACACGGTCGTGTGCAGCCGTCCAGCAGCGATGCTGAAAGGAGGTAACTTCGGTTTGATATGCGCCATAAGGTTCAAGTTTACATAAAAAGTCCACAAAACGTGACACTTGAACATGGAAACGTCCAACGTGTGCTGCGTTTGCGTGTCAACCTACCATTTGACAGACCCCCTGCCTCCCAGGAAGTGAGTGTAGATGAGCGGGCTCGGTGGCTGGTAGCGATTGAAAAGGCATTCCTGTGCGCGACGAACCATAATCTGTAAGAATGGGATGTGCACATTCAGCTGAACACAGAGGCCATGGAGGAGAGATGCGACGCGAACAAAAAAAATGATGTCCTTTGGCCAGTCCTCGAGCGGATTTGCTGAGCCGAACAAGCACACGTACTACCGACAATCCAGATTGACCGACAGCAAGGGGGTATATCGCACCTGGCATGCATAATATCACTCAGAAGTCGAAGACGAATCACGAAGCTCCCCCACGTTCTGAGCAGCATCCGTCTTCAGAGACCAGGCTACGTGCTGCACAGACTCTAGTGCTGCTCAGTTGCACCCACACTCCAATTGCACGAAAGGAATTGGCCAACGACAGGAGATAACAGTGATGCAGTGCCACACCCTCCTGAATTTTCTTGCGGTTTATTCCGGCCTGTACTGCAGCTTGCACGGTCTCCCCCGCTGCCTTGTGAACGGCCTCCGTTTCCTTCTTCTCCACCTCCCCTTCCTGCACACACCCATACAAACACATACATACACACATACATGCTACCGTACAAAATCACAACAAAGCATTGCAGCGCCACAGGCTTTCTTGTTGGCCGTTGCCACGAACCAATGCACAACCTACCCCCTTAAAAGGGGGTACAACAGAGGCGAAGGTGTCTCTTTTTGCCTCAAGACAGTTCAAATGGTGGTCCTGGAAAAGTGACGCACCCGGAAAGCCAACCGAAGGGCGTCCATATAGATCTCCGGATCAATCACAGCACCTTTTCCCTCTTTGAATTGAAAGCCCATGTTCTCAAAAGCCTCCATAAGCCCCATCACGTCCATGGATGCAACTGAGTAGACCTGTGCGAAAAGGGGGCTGCAGAAACTGGAGAGGCATTCAAAGCAACAGCGACGACGACGTAGCATGTTTTTCACAAACTCTGCAACCAAGGCGTAGCTCACGAGCTTTGAAAAGGCGGTCTGGCCCTTCGAGTCGAACTCTTTCACAAGCCCCCAATCCAAAATCACGGGGAAAGCTTCCTTGGTAACAGGGTCGACGGATACTAAGATGTTGCCTGGGTGCGGATCGCCGTTGAAAAGGCCATCAATGTGGATTTGATACGCGAAGCTGTCGCAAAGCCTGTACATCAGCTCCCTTCTGTCGACCCCGTATTGCTGCCGTAGGACAACACGCCAAAGACCAAACCCCATTAGCTAAGGCACAGCAGCATCCCTACCCCGTCCATACCGTGTCTTGTCTGTCTGACATACGCGCGTCGGCACTGAGAAACACCGTTTCCCCTGGAATGCTTCTTTCAGCCACTAGGATTTTATGCGCAAGCCGTATACCTTTGTTTCAAAAAGTGGCGCGCTACACGGAACCCTCTTTAAAGACAGACGTAAATCACCCTGCAAACGAACTGCGGCCGTGTCGAGCTCACATCAAGCTTCGCAGTATCTGTGACTTTGAATCCATCAATGAAATCCATCACCATAACTGACTTCGTTACCAAGTTCGGATAGCACTTTGGAATTATGACGCCGATTCTTGAGCGCTGAGGGAGCATGGACACATCCACACCCATGAGGGATGCATGCGGCCCACGTCGCGGACGACTTAGGCACCACTCAAATGTTCTGCGTTGACTCACAGCTGCCTGCGCCTAGCGCTGGCATGCACACGTTATGGCAGTGGGTCGCCAGGCTCAACGCTGAATCATGCTACCGTGATGACTACAGCACCGAAGCGTAAGGCGCATTGAGCTGCGGTGCAAAGACATCCCCCCACCAAGCTCTCTTCGTGCGCGTATGATATTTTCCGTGCTTACCTGAGCCGCCTCGTACGCCCGTTGCTGATGCGCAAATTCGTATCTAAAATCAAGTTCCTTGGTCGCCGCCTTCTGCCATTCCTCCAAAATCGGAGCGAAGTTCATTCCTGGTTCGAGCATTCCAAAGGCTGCACCGGACGGACAGCGGAGGTGGTAGGGGGCGTCTGTAGCTCTACATCGGGCAGGCTCTAGGGGTCAAAGAAGATGTTGCTTGCTCATGCAGCTTTATCGCAAACCCGCACAAGCAGCGGTCAAGGGTCTGCCCTAAACCCTCTGCCAGTTGCTTTATTCATCTGCGAAACGGCGGACGGCTCACCCCAAGACAGTTGCTTAAGATTTGTCATGTCATGCATCAGAAGTGACTCGACGTCGGCGTGCTGCACCTTCACCACAACTGCTGTGCCATCCTTCAGCCAGGCTCGGTGCACTTGACCAATACTCGCGGAGGCCAGAGGCTTTTCGTCGATCTTGGAGAAAATGAGCTTTAAGTCGCCTGTGGCAGTTCAAGACCGACGAATGCGCGTTGCCGCCATGAGGAAGTACACGGCGGATTCCATTTTTGCACCAACAACAAGATGATACTTAGGGGGAAAGAAGGCCAGAGGCGTCCCCTGACACCCTGCTGAAAGCCTCAGGCCTTCGATGAGTTAGCTAGCTAGAGGAAAGACGCCACCAGTACGGTCTAGCGCACTACGCAAGGACCAACTGCGTCCTACCAAGCTCTGCCTGCAAGGCCTTCTCGATGACAGCGTACGATGTCGTGGGCATCATGTCTTGCAATTTTATGAGGTGGTGGATGTACTGCTGAGGCAACAGATCGCTCCGGGTGCTCAGGAACTGTCCAACCTTGACCCACCAGCCTGCAAAGTGAACAAAGCAGCCGCGGCAGAGAAAGCCAACGGCAAGCTGAAGGCCAGGAAAAAACGCGACACACTGCTTGCATGCAGCACTTGGGAGCTTTCTGAAATGGTGATTCCGGCAGACATCTGCGCCTCTAAAGTGTGCAACCCGAATTCAGCACAGCCGCTACGCCGAGCAGCACAGAATGAGCTTTCCGCAGCCCTTCCCTGGACTCGAGGCCAGTGGAATGATGCCACCGAATCTACCTCACCCTTTAGTTCTTTGATGTTATCCCACACGAGGTTTGCGAAGTGCTCGTGCCGTTGTTCCCAGTAGGCCGCTTGTTTTTCCTGGGGAAGCGCGCGGCCTCGCGCCTGTGCTACCTTCCACCCCAAGTACACGTTCGACCAGCACCATAGGGTCTGTGGCAGAAAGAATGCACATACAGCTGGCTCACAAGGCTGGGGAAACGCAGTGGGTAGCACAGCGAGCCTCGAAAAGAGTTGGATATATCAAGCTCTTTTGGTGTATTGTAGCAGGATGACCAGCTATGGTGAGCACCCACACCCCCGTTAAGCGTTTAAGCAGGTACATATGTGCCTCTTGACTACTGCGTCGGCGGCGAAAGCTTGCTTAGGGGGGAACGAGTCGCTCTAAATGAACCCGAGAAGGTTACCCGCCATTTCCGATTCCAGCTCTCCATCGAGACGCCAGTGGGATATATGCGCACTGGTCCTTCCCCCAAGCGCTCCAAAACAGATCGCTCAATCAATGGCGTTCACAAAGCATTGAGAGTTGGATTCGATGCTGGCTGAGCTCATGTGGAGGGGCGCAAGGCCAGCCTAAATTGTTGCAAAACGACGGCGCCGCTCCTCCGCAGGTAATATGGACGCAGTTGGTAAGTTGGTGGCGGTATCGCTTTCAGCTTTTCAAGGTTCACGAACCCCTTTCTGGAGTTTGAATGGAGGGAAGATGAGCAATCGCACCTTCAACTTATTTCAGACACCTCCGCTCGTCACTCGAGGCACGGACGGGTACAATAACAAGGGCATGAGGGCGAACTTCCCTCTTGATGCCAACCGAAAGGGGTGTGTCTTGGCGAATTCGCTATGGAAAACAATTTTGGCGCAGCAAAGGCTCCAAAGGAACAGTTGACCTTCCCCTGGGCCCCCGTGGTTTCACCGATATGCGATACGTCTGGCAAAAACAAGTTGACAATTGAGGTCTCTGCTTTTGTTCACCCTGATGCAGGTTTTTAGCGGCGATATGAGCCCGCAAAGCGTTGAACGTGCTGGTTGTTTGCGGGAAAGGAAGAAAGGCATGTCGCTGCTAGGTAATCCTGCGAAGGCCCTAAGAGGTCCAGGCCCCAACACGCTGAAGATGATAAAATGTGAAAACGCGTTTCACGTAGGTGCAAACGTGCTATACTGGTAGCAATTACTGACGAAGAATGAGGTACCGTGCCACGCGGATCACGGAGTCAGCTGCTAGCACTCAGTTCCTCGTCGCCGCCAAGTAAGGCGGTTGTCCTACGTACCACGTGTAGGGCTGCAGCTTTTACACTTCACCGTGAATAGCCATTTATTAACTAATTCATTGAGCAGAAACGCTATGTCACTGCCCACTGGTGAGGCGGCGACCAACATACGCGGCAAGCCGGCATCCCAGGGAGACTCAAGCTTGCCCTTCCATAGGTGACTTCACAAACCCTGAAGCATTTGGTTGGCCTCTTGTCTTGGAGAGGAAGACATTAATCCATGCTTATTTCTCCTTGTATCAGTCATCGTTAGCCTCTCTTGACCTTCGATGGCTTTAGACACAATGCAAGCAACACTCACACTTCCCAGAGCTGCGCCAGGTTCGCCAGGAGACCTCTCGTGGCTCGAGTATTGTTTTCGACAACAGCTGGAACTCGAGTCTTTTGGGTCAAGGCTGCTTACATACCTGACTGAGGGTCGTTTCGCTGGATGCTAAGTTCATGCTCCAAGGGTGTTTTCCGTTGGAATAGTGCTCGTGACTACTAAATACCGGTTCCGTAAGCTGCATGTGCGTTTCTTGGCTTTATCTCATGTGCAGTTCAGCCTGCCCCAATTAAGCGACGCAGGCGAACACCGTTTCGTTTTTGGTGGCTGTATGTCCAATTATGTGTCATAACCCTGAGCCTTGTCTGCTGATGTTACAGGCAAACCTAAAAGTCGCGTTAACCCCGCCTAGAAACAGAATAAATCGTTCGGGTTGATGCAACTGGATACAGTGACTTTCACAGAAAAAAAGGCGTCTCATGGCCGGCTTTTCTTTGTGATTGTAGAGTCTGCCGCGCATCTCGGCAGCTTACTTCATAGCGTTGGCTTGTAGTGCCACTGCCACCGACTACTTGCTCTGGATGAACGGTAGTATTTTTCGATGTTACAGCCTTGAAGCGGCCAGCCATAAAACGTTGTCCAGACGGTCGAGGCCCACTCTTTGTGGCGCTCACTGGTAAATAAAACTATTCAGACAATTTTCTTCGTTGCCAGAGTAGGGACCTATATGCTCGAAAGAACTCGAGCATAATTCATCTACAAATTTAAGTGCTTTGGTATGAAGCCTACCCAATGGATGCATCCATGCAATTCTAGGTTGGTTCATTCAAGCTTATTTGGCCCCCTGTACCTGACGGGCTCTAGCATAGCTTTGAAGTACAAATAGTACTTGTTAGTGTATAGCATGATGACCTTGTGACGACAGGAACATCTGCAATACACTTTGCAAGTCAATAAAGTAGCAAAATAAAACAGAGCAGGTACAGGAGTGAAGTGGCACGCAATTGTATAAAGCATGGATATGAGTGAAGACGATAGAGCAGTTGCGCTTTAGTGATGTAAGAGCACGGCGGCATCCCCTTAACTGCATGAGCCAAATGATTACACAGGGTTCCCCAAAGAGGACACTTTCCGTGTTAAGTACAAGATGCTGTCTAAATTCCCTCTTGTCATGCGCATCCAAGGGGTCTGTTATTTTTTGTCACCAGCAAGGCGCTAAAGGTAGACAGACTCTCGTACCTCCTTTTTCCTACCGCCCAGTGCTCCCATCCTGCTGCATCGTTCCATTTTGTTACTTCGTCTGTGCAGACGAGTATTCGTGAGGCGAAAAAGTAGTGCCTTGGATATATTGTGTATGAAATTGTCCCTCCTTGCCGTGAATTATTCTTTGGGAAAGCTTTAGCGACCACAGGTTCGTACCTGCATCACCCATAGTTTCGGTGGAATGCATGGAGTGAATCGGGCCCATAAGTTTTCCCTCGAGAGCTTGGCTTTTATGTCAAGTATTCACTAAGGGAGACGAACAGAATACTGAACTACACTGGGACCTCAGTCCTCGTGGCTGATTTGCCATGCCGGAGCATCAAAAGTGTAATTGGCATCAACATCTGGAGTCACACACTCATCAATATCACTAAAGTATACTGGTACACGATTTCTCACCCCAACTACTGCATTTAGAACATTTAAGATGTTCAATTTTGCCGCATAGTGCCAATAGGAGCTTGTTAAAGAGCTTTTGGGGAATAAATGTATCGCATGGACTATTGTTGCTGTAGGCATCTTTCGCCGTCTATTTTGACTTGATTTTATGCTTTACCTTTTATATAAGATGAGAAGACAATCTTTGCGTGAAGGTTTGTACAGCGGGCCAAGGCACACAAGGGCCTTTTTGTAAACTAGTCATGTCTAATTAAACAACTTGTTCAGAACTGACTGTTTGTTTCCGCTGATCGTATATCTTATGTCTAAGATCGTGAACAAGGTCAGTACCACGGAGATGAACGGTGTTTGCTTGTGTTGTAATTATGCTATACGTGGCTGGATGCAAATGCTCGTACTGCTCGAAGCGTGCTGCTTAATAGGCGCCAGTTGTGCCTCTCACATCACACAAGAACCTTGAGGAATCATGGAAAGAAAAGGGTAAACTTTTCTTCCCTGGTGCAGTTAGTGACTCTCTACTATGCATCTGTAGAGGGCATAATACTAAAATTCTTGCTTTGGGAGCTTTAAATGTATCACTCTACCAGGAAAGCGGCGTTGCACAATGACTCATGTATTAGCTTTTTTGTCCCATGCAACTTCTTAGAGGGGCGCAACAGTGTAAATAATTTAACCTCTCAAGCTCTCTGGCGATGTGCCAGTGCGGGAGGTCTGCATAAAAGGCCTGATAGTGCAGAGATGGTAAATCTTGAGGAAGCTTCGCAAAGGCGGGCATCGCACGGCAAGGTTCCGTGTTGGTTGCTACTGGGCTGAGGTCGGGTTAGAGTATTTTTCAGAGGACATGCAACGCCAGACGCAAAAAAAGAACTTGCCCAATTACGGTTCTCTGACCCTCTGTATCGCGTGCATCAGTCCCCCCACGCCTACAGCAATGGACCAAGGCAGCTGCGATGTGCTGGCGCTACATGGTCGTCATCTATAGCATTGTCATGGTGGCCGAATGGACGTAGATTCATGCACAGGATGAACACACAGGATTGTGTAAGAGACAGCTGCGCAACTTTTACCGGCTATTGTCAAGAAGAAGAATCAAGCTGTTCATTGACAATATTCAGAGATGAAATTATTGGGCTTTAAAAATATGCCGTCAGAAACTTAAGCAAACTTTCTGTTCACACAGTGCGAAGCTTGCGTACGTGCATGAGTATCCCCGGCGCATATAGGTGATAAGGGATGCGCCGAAGATTGTTCGGTTGACTTACGAATCAGACATGGCATGACAATAAGGGAATCAATTCTCAATGTTGCAGGTCCTCTTTAACACATTACATATTACAGCATGTAGTAAGGTGTGTGACGATCAGAATACAACTAAGCCGATCTGACCAGGAAGCTGGCGCGCCCACTGAGGCAGCAACCTGTGCAGCCTCTCCCTTACAAAAGATATATGCCGCAGTCAATGACTATTTAGTATTGTCTCAATATTGTCGTAGCACAGCAAATACAAGAAAGAGTAGCCCTACGGACAGGCCCCTCTTCCAGCGCACAAACCAGAGGCCCACCCGCCTTGGGGCCATTTGGGATACCAGGCGACGCAGGTGTGTTTTGCCGCCTCCTCACAGCCTTACTCAACTGAAGCTGACACAAACTGCCTCCAAGACCGTTCCTCCGTCTAAGCAGAACGTCGACTCCGCGGTAACGCCAGTAGCTCATGCTTCGGCTGCACCGCACAGTATGTTTGCTGTATCGCGTCTTTCTGGCCTTGGCCTCAGCGCTTTAGCGTGCAGACTCGGAGCGTCGGATGCTGCTGTAGCACTGGAAGGAGCAACAGCCGTGATGTTTGCGTAGCTTGCGACGCGAAGAGAATTGGCGTAGGAAGTCTCCCGCGGTCGAACAGCTGCAACGCATGGTCAGAATATCAAGACAGCCTTCAATTTAGCGTGCGCTAAGCTCTGGCATGCAGTCCGGCTCAACCGTTTTTAGCCTGGGAGCCAAGGGCAGTGCTTTCGAGCTGGCTAAGTCGTGCTCCAGGGGGCAGGATATGCATCTCCCCAGCATCCACAAGCGTATTCAGTAGTGGTAGCAGCCATGCAGGCACCCTCAGAGCACCCATGTGTCTCTATCGTGGAGCCTGGGCCTCCCTCTGTTGCTGCAGCAGAGGCAGCTGCACTACCTTCAGAAGTGGCGACTACGACAAGAACACGAGCGACCCATGCCGAGCCAACTACCGATACACCGTCCGCGGCTCCTGCTGAACGGCAGCTAGAGCCTAATGTTTCAGAGCCATCAACTTCGAAGAAAGTTGTTTCTACTCCCCCATCTTCGCGGATGAAGGATGACTGCAGCAGCAGCAGCAGCACCACCAACACCAGTGGCAGCAATTTCGGCAGCAGCAGCGAAAACGGCAGCAGCGCAGGAGTATCCTCGACCCCTTCAGGAGCTGCCAAGCCCCCACTGCATGCCTCATCGGAAACGACGTGGGGCAAGGCTGACAGCTTCAGCTCTCGCGAAAACGAGCAGCCTGAAGGCTGTTATGGCATCCCGAAGGGTGATGAATCTATGCAGGCCCTTAGGAGGCACGTTGAGCTGCTTATCGACCGAGAGATCAATTCGAAGGCTCGCACCCGGTACATTGCCAGTTGCTGCGCACTTTTTGTGCCTCTTTCTGCTCTATTCCTCTACAGAATATACAGAGTGTACCCCATGTAGGCCCCCGCGCGGCTGCTTTCCCAGAAGCATTCGCTCGTCTGCCTTACTCCTGATGCCTCCCACATGAGGCGACCCTTGCTACGCGTGTCGTGAGAAGATTCTTCGACCGGCTTCAAACTGATGATGCCGGTTCCCCTCGGTAGAGGGCCTCTTCAGAACCTGTGCGTGCTGTATTTTTGCCTGCGCCGCTTCTCGCTGCGGATGTATTTTCTCCGTCTCAGGCTTGAGACATGCCTCGATGCGCTAGAGCCAGAGCGGCTGGATCCTCAGCTGCTCAGAGTCATTTGTGCAAAGGGGCTGCCAGAGGGGTGCCCGGCCTTGCGCTCAGTTTATTGGCGCATCCTGCTGCACTGTCTCCCCCTGGAAGCGTCAAAGTGGCAGGAACACCGTCGCACGCTTCGGTAAGGAACCGCTTGTACCCCGTTTTTTCTTAGCATCCCCTCTTGCTTTTTCCGCCGGGGTGGCAGTCAGAGAGGGTGTGTGTATGTATGTATGTGAGATATATAGATATATGTATATATATATAGATATAGATATATACATATATAGATATACATATATATAGATAGAGAGAGATAGAGGCTCTGGAAGGCCGGAAGGCGTGTGCAAGGCGCGTTTGGCTTCGCTATGTTCGCTCACAGATGGAGCGATTGCACTCGCGTGGACTGTGGACTGTGTGCAGAGAAGCATACGAATCGTACAAGGCTGAATTCATCCGTGAACCCGAGGCAGTGCGCCGCTTGCGACGCATGCAGCAAGAGCAGCAGGAGAAGAACCGGCAGAAGCCTCAGGAGGGCTTTACGGAGGAGCTCAGCTCCGGTAGCTCCCCGGACGGAGGCGCTAGTGGATGCGGCAAAGATTCCTCAATTGGCTCTACTGCGGCTTCCGATGGCGTCAAGACAGCTCAAAAGGCGTCGCAGTCAGGGGATCAGCGCAGTAACCGATCGCAGTCCGCTTCCTCCATAGCAGTCGCGGCAGTTAGCGATCACGTAAGACCCTCTTTATGCGGTGTAACCACAAGGGGGCTTCTTTGCGCCTGGTGCACAGAAGGGAACCTCCTTCCTCCCTCTTTTCTCTTTCCTCCCTCTTTCCTCTTCCCTCCCTCTTTTCTCTTTCCTCTCTCTTTTCTCTTTCCCCCCTCTTTTCTCTTTCCTCCCTCTTTCCTCTTCCCCGCCCCAAGTGCCCAGCTGTCCACCAACTTTTGGGGACAGGGGAAGCGAGACTGCCATGTTGAGAGAAAAGAGCCTGTTACTTCGGCTGCGTCGGCGAACCAGAAGGTTTGGCGTAAGATAGGCTTCACGCTCTACGGTGTGCTGTTTGCTCCCTGTGTGTTGTTCAGCCTCTATGTCGGAGCGCAACAAGCGAGTGGCGGGGGTACTGGGTGGACGCTGAGGTTTTCGACCAGATAAATAAGGATGTGTTTAGGACCCGTCCAGAGCTGTGCTTCTTTGCCATGAACCCTCAGCAAACAGTCATGCGGCAGCAGCAGCTGCATTTGTATCCCCCGCCTCCGACTCGCCTGGCGCAACCCCAGCATCAGCAGCAGTCCGACGAGGTTCCTCTTCTCGTGAACTACTACGACTTGCTGCAGCAGCAACGGCAGTCCCAGCAGCAGCAGGGGGTGTCAGCTGCGTTGGGGGATAGCGTCAAAGGCAACAGCAGCAGCGCGCACAGCGGCAACGGCGGTAATACGGGAACCACCCTCAGTGGCACTGACAGCCACCAAGAGAGTTCGCGTAAGCCTTCCTCTTCGCCGCTGAGAGGCTTCCGTCTCCCGTCTGCCTTCCGCCAGAAGAAGTCTGCCTCCACCTTGACTGTGTCTATTGGCCGGCTTTCCAGTGAGGATGCATGCAGCAAGGGCGACGTCGAAGCCTTCAAGAACGCAAGTGCGATAGCCAGCAGCAGTGCCTCTGGATCCGGAAGATCCTTCTCAGCCTCAGCAGCGGCGGGCTTTGGCCAGCAGCAGGCGCAAGCCTTCGACTTCAGCAGTGGCAGCCTAGAGGACGGCGAGCAGTGGGGAAAGTTTTCCGCCTCAGTCGGAGTGCCTTTCCCTTACTGGATCAACGAGGCGCAGCAAAGCAGCGGAGCCTCAAGTCACAGCAAGCAGGCTCCAGACGCAGCCGATGCCCTCGAAGCTTCTGCGGCAGCCGCACAAGCCGCTCGCCAGCTCAAGCGGCAGTTGACTTCCGCGAAGCGATCAGCAGACGCCAAACCCTCTCACAGTTCCCCAACGAACGTGCGCTCGTCCCCTCACGATTCGTTGGAATCAGACTCTGTGTTTTCCGCGGGCACCATCGCCTCCTGCGCGCCTCTACCATCGCCCTCTCGCGCACGTACTGCGCAGGGTTCCCTGGGGGAGGGTACTCTCGGGGAGAAACTTGCTCCAAAGCAGCCGGTAGAAGCGACAGCGGAGGTAGCTGGCACTGCAGTCTTGGCGCAGCAACAGTCGAGCGGAGAGGGAGCCCTCACCTCTTCGTCTCCTCGCGTCGCTGAGGATACGCCTGTGAGGGACGTGTCTGCGCACTCCAAGGGGGAAGAGGGGCAAACTGAGAATCCTGTGTCGACAGAAGGAAAGCAAGACGCGCTGCAGCCGTGGCGTGCGCCAGCTGGAGTGCAGGACGTCTGCAACATGATAAACCCCCGGCGGCATTACGATGTGCTGTCTCGCCTCCTGTTCATTTACGCCAAGGTTAACCCTGGCCTGTGCTACGTACAAGGCATGAACGAGATCCTCGCACCAATATACTATACCCTCATGACGGACCCGACATACACGGACTACGAACAGGCAAGAGAGCTTCCAAAACAGCCTTTTGGCTGGCCGCTGTAGGAAGGGTGGACATGTGTGTGTGTGTGTGTGTCTGTGTGTGTGTGTGTCTGTGTCTCTCTCTCTCTCTCTCTCTCTCTCTCTCTCTCTCTCTCTCTCTCTCTCTCTTTGTCTTTCTCTCTCTCTCTCTGTGTGAGCATGAGAGCACACGAGACTCCTCCTCTCACACGGCTATCTTCTTGCCGCTCTTGTGCTCGAAAAACAAAACCACATACACTGCCCCCTCGGCTCTCTCGCACACGCTGTGGCTCCTAACGCGCTCTCGACGTTGCCATCCTCCACAGTGTATCCTCCCGTGTCAGCTGGCTAGTCAGCGGTGGGTTTGCTTGTGTGTTGTTTATGTCTGTTGTTGTTTGTTTTGTTGGTGAGTAGTGGGT